TTCCCAAAAGAACCAATCCCTTATTAAACCCTTATTAAAGAACAGCTTTTCCACAATTTTCCAAGGTCCTGGGCCAGGAGAGGCTCCATTTCACTTTAGTAGGTTTGTTTGCTGGGTTCACTATTGCAGCAAGCTGTGCCAGAGCAGCCCCTGGAAGCCCAGAAGGGAAGCAAGCCTGTTCCAAAATTGCCAAATTCAAACTCCAAGCCTTTCCCAAAGGATATTAAACCCTTATTAAAGAACAGCTTTTCCACAAGTACTACAAGTACTACAAGTACTACAAGTACTGCAAGTACTACATTTACTACAAGTACTACAAGTACCACAAGTACTACAAGTACTACAAGTACTACAAGTACTACAAGTACTACAAGTACTACAAGTACTACAAGTACTACAAGTACTACAAGTACTACAAGTACTACAATTACTACAAGTACTACAAGTACTACAAGTACTACAAGTACTACATGTACTACAAGTACTACAAGTACTACAAGTACTACAAGTACTGCAAGTACTGCAAGTACTACAAGTACTACAAGTACTACAAGTACTACAAGTACAACAAGTACTACAAGTAATACAAGTACTACAAGTACCACAAGTACTACAATTACTACAAGTACTACAAGTACTACAAGTACTACATGTACTACAAGTACTACAAGTACTACAAGTACTACAAGTACTGCAAGTACTGCAAGTACTACAAGTACTACATGTACTACAAGTACTACAAGTACTACAAGTACTACAAGTACTACAAGTACTACAAGTACTACAAGTACCACAACTTCATCGGCAAAAAAAAACAATAGTAATTAGATTTCAATTGTAGCCAATTGAAATCCTTACTTAATCGAGGATATGTTTTTCTTTTGGGAAGAATTTTTTTGCTTTTCTACTTTAAAGAGAGTCCGGATATAGTTTAGGGGAGGGGGGGGGGCACACACTAATCAGGAACCAACATTATATACACATACTAAATCAAATACTTCATGTTGAAAGAAAGGAAAATGACGATGTTCAAAACATCCGTATCCCAGTAGCGTAAGAAAATCCACGGAAGGATTTGGCGCAGCTTCTTTTCAATTTAATAACGCGAACAATTCTGTTGGGTTCCAGCTTGGCCCAAACATATTTGGCTTCTAGCACTGGCAAAACAAGGCTTCATCCCATGCAGTCCCTGGCTGAAAAATGCTTCTCTGATTACCTTTTTTGATATGGGACTTCGGAAAGAATCCATTGGCTGAACGGTTTACCTGGAATAGCCATGAATAGCCTCAGTCTCGGATCACAAAATGCAAAGTACTAGATTGACCATCGGCCACTACATAAAAGATGGTAGTTCATAGCAAAGCGCAGCAGCCCATGCCAAATCCAAAGAGTTCTGTCTTTTCGTATGAATTCAGTTTCAGTGAGACGAGGTGCAACCCAAAACATCTATCTTTGAGTAAGATCCTGCAATCCTGCACGCTCAGGCACACTCCCTGAAACTTACCTTGGAGGGACGTTTTCCTGCGATGATCGACGTCGGATTGGGCCGACTGTGAGGGCCAAAGCTGATTCCAAAGTCTTTGTGGATCCCTGACATTGCGAAGCAAATGGGCCCAGAATAGCGTAATCAAAAAGTTGGCAAAAACCAAAAGCTCATTGCGTTGGCCTTCCGGATCCTTCCGGATCATTCTATTTGAAGCAGGTACAAATGCAGTATCCATCTGTCTCAGCAATTCTCAGCATCACAAGCGCTTGCAGCCGCTTGCAAGTTGGACCTGGAAACATGAGGCTAGCAGCGACTCGCAAACTTGCGGGGTCCCAGTGGCATCGCGGGGCTTCTTTGAGCTTGCGGCCACGCGAAAGCCACGAGAACAGCTGCCAAACACACAATAAGTGGGGCAGACTAAGTGGCAAAACACGGCCAGCCGTGCCATTTTTAAAGTGGAAACACACCAAGAAAGCTTGGCAAAAAAGAGCCGTGCTCGTTTTCTTGGCTCTCGAAGCACCATTCCCACAGTGGCCGGGAGTTGCTTGTGCCCGGTGAAAATCCGTATGAAAACAATCAAGCGGGTCTGGTTGAAAATATAAGGTTCCCAAATCCTCTGGTTCATCATCAATTGCTCTATTAAGGGTTTAATTTTATTGATAGGGTTCCCTAATAATAAATACCCCCCTAATACTAAAAACATCTAAAAACATCTAAAAACTACCCGCCGTGTTTAATAATAGGGGGGGACGTTTCGTATTAGGAGGAAGGGATTATCTCTTGCTCATTTGCTTTGGCACAGGCATGCACAGGCTGAGGTCCTCAACGAGACTTTGGTTCATCCCAAGCCGGCGAAAGTAGTCCTTGATGAACTTCAATGGAGCGCCCCGTAAGCGATCCACGCACACATGTTGCGGCCCCTTCACCCTCCAACGGTCCCGGATAAAACCCATAGATGCGTTGACTTCGAAGTTCCACGAGGTACAAGGAATATCAGGAATAGCTTGCAAAAAAGCACCACAAATCGGTACACCGTGCAAAGCCCAGTGAGCATTCGGTAAAAGCACGGTGTGACTGGTGTTGGAGCGATTCCAGAGTTTCCAGAGCAAAGATTGCCAGGCATCCTTGTCCAATGTTGTGAATGATGAACGGATTGTGGCAGGTTCAGTGAAGACATACGTAGCGAACTTCCGCTCAAAGATGTTGATCAAATCATTGTAGGCGTACACGCTGCCTTTCACCGACGAAACTACGAAAGCGGGATCGTCGTGCCCCAAATACGGCGCAAAGTCCGGCCGCAGTACGAGCAGCTGGCGAAAGCGCTGTCCAGTCTGCATTTCATACCGCAATATACGATCAAAAGCTATAACACGCGCACGAAATAGGTTGTTCTGCCCACCTTCCCCGGGAAATTTGGCCTTGACGTCCAGCATTGCTCGAAGTGTAGGGTCTTGAACGTACTGACGTGCGACCTGCCAACCGCAGGTCGCATCCTCCACAAACGCTGCGTCCCATGTCACGTTGAGATTCTCCAAGGCTTCTCGCAATTCTTTCACCGTGAACTTAGACCAGACCTGGCATCGGGATCGCCTTTTGTGTGGAACAAGGCCCTGCCTATTGTCAAAGGTTGCCAAAAACAAACAAACCTGCTGAAACAAGGGATGACTCAAAATCAGAGAAACGATCAAATTGGTTACAGCTGATTTTGCACCAAAAAAGTTGCACAGAGCTTGGGATTCGGGACTGAAGGAACATTTGCACACACACTTTCACAGAATTCGTGCTGCGTCCTAGAGATGGAAAGACACAAACAAAGGATAACACAAGGTATACGGTATACGGTATATTAGGAAAGTGCAAGGAAACAACGCTTTTGCATTCTAAATATTCTAAATTCTGCCGACCCTGCCAAATGATGCCCTTGCAAAAGCAAGATAAAAGTACAGTAGTGCCCGAAATCGCCAAACATGTCCATTAGACATACATGGCTCAAGGATGTTCGGACGGCTAGTCCATATTTTCGAGGTGGGCCTGGTCACAAAACTATTTGATTAGCGCTTGATGTGAAGTAGACCCCGTGGGGTCCCCAAACGAATCCTATGCCTGGTCTTTCCTCGCTGTCAAGCCGGTCCCTCTGAACTTTTGGCTCGAGATAGTGGTCAAAACGGCAAAAAGCACCAAGTCTCCATCGAAGCGAGCCAGAAAGAGTCGCCAAAACTCATTCATCAGTGTACTAAAGAAGGACCTGGTCATCCCTGCTAGAACAATGGCAAAACGAGGACCTTTCAAAGGCAAAGTTTTGGATTCGGCGGGAAGCAGAAAGCCGCTGGAGCACTGGCAATCCATACCGAAACACCGAGAAATTTCATGTTCTTCACACATGAAGCGATTGGCTCGGCAACTTGCATTGCAAGCCAAGGAGAAATTGATGCCCAGTTCCAGTTGTTCGATACCTTTGGCATCCAATGAGACAGGAGTCCAAGGTAATGCTGATTGCCCTGGAATCAATGCTGGAATCAATGGAGGGTGGGTAGTTGTCCTTGGTGTCCTTGTTGAACTGATTGACTTGGTGGATGTCGATCTTGTTGATCCCGGAAAAATCTCAGCTGACTCTGAGAAAGATGTCAGCTTCACATCATGTAAGTTGGATAAGTCGTTGGATAGGTTGTTGGAATTGTGTATCTCGTGAGGTATGTGGATGTGCTCCAGCGGCTGTTGCGCGTGTTGCGTCCGTAGGGCAGCGGGTATTCTCCTCACTTCAGTCTGGAATGCCACCAGAATGGAGGAGAGCAGAAGCAGAGCAGAAAGCAGCAAAATCGGCAAAGACCTTGGAGCCATGGCTCGCGATGCATGAGCCTCGAAGCCTCGACCCCAGGACTCATAGGACTCATAGGATTCATGCTTCATCTTGATGGGTGCACAATCTGATGTTTTCATATGTTTTCTGAGCGATGTCACCAGTCATCTCAATGGGTGAACTAAGTAGCTAAGCTCGAAGCATGCACTTGGGAAGGGTTTGTAGCTTCCTACGCCAGGACTGTTTTCAAGTTGGATGAAAGTTGAAATATGTTGAAACTGTATCATGCTCTGTCGCATATCTCCGAGAAGCGATGGGATGCCTGAACCAACGCAGTCAACATGGATCTATCAGCTTGAGAAGCTGCTCATTAGGCTAGAAGCACTGCAGAGTACAGGCTAGGACCAGCTAGAAAATCATCTCCCCGAACACATCTGAGGTAGCCCTGCATTCAAATTGGCCACAAACTCAGTTGTTCACTTGGCCAGACCCAAATGAGTTTGCTAGAAGGTATCTTTGTCCAATCCCATATTGATACAACTGAATGGCAAGTAAGAAGGAGTGCCAAGGTTTGCTCTCTCTCAAAAAGTTAGCTGGTCAGCACGTAAGTACATAGCACGTTTTGTTTTGAGATTCCTTCTCTCTCCTAAAGAACAATTTCTAAAGTGAGAAAAGCACTTCGTGTATAAATTACATTAAATTACGATGAAGACACCCGCAGTTTCTTCCCTGGTTTTTTGCGCGTTCAAGTCAAGGCATAGTTTGCCCGGAGCATCCAACTGTGCAAGAGGAGAATCCGGTGCCAAAGAATGCACCTTGTGGCCTCCATGGAGGTGTGTTCTAGGTCGCTCGGCGAAGCTTCTCTTTCTCTGTCAGTGTGCAGCTTTCAAACCTTCCGACAGCAGCAGGAAACTCGTGCGCTTTCTTCCGAGGAAACTCGTCCAATCTGAGGATCACTGAGGTTCACTGAGGATCTTGTAACCGATTGTAACGAAACGTGTAACTGTGGATCCTCCCATGAAATCAGGTTCCTTCGAGTCCAGTATCAGTATCTGGCTGTTTCAACAGGGAGCTTTTGGGGACCAGCCACAGGGAACTTTCAACACCGAGCCCCGCATGGAGCCACATACGCTGAAAATATCCCACAAGGTGCGGTAAATGCTGTGACATTCATAGAATGTCCCGGAACAGGAGACCACCCAAGTCTGTCCCCTACTCTGATCAATCAAAGAGATGATATCATTACTGGGCCGCACAGCCACCAGGCTGACACTTTCGTCCGTCATCTTCGCATGTAAATCGCGTATCTTCTCCGAATCCATCTGGTGCATCAGCACATGAGCTGCATGATGCACACCCGGGGCGGCAAAGGTGACCACCTGCAACCTGCTGAAATAGGCGCTGAGTCAATCTGATTCATAAGGGGGGAGCCATGTCCAACATTGAATTCACATGTTTTTCTCCTTTTAACGGTGCTATAAGAGTTCTCCCCCCGAAAGAAGATATAAGAAGATATAAGAAGATAAAGATGTTAAGAGGAAAGTGTTACCAACCTCTTGCCTTGCGCGCTGAGGTATCTTGATGGCCAGTTTCACCAACTTCGCAACACCACCACCCAACGAATGGCCGGTGATGTAATACTCGCGTTCTGGATGTTGATTGATCATCAACTCCGCCGCAGAAAGCACAGATTCGACTGTCTTCTTCCGGTCGATGTATGCCATGGGGAGCATCTGTGACAGCTCTGCTGTGGCCATACCCCAGGCTCCATAGGCCGTATCTAGGCCGACTAAGCCGAAGAATTGCAACAAGACAGGGACGATCCACAGCGACACATCTTGCAACACATCCAGACAATCCAAGGTGCCACGGACAGCAATGACAGTGGTCTGATTATCTTCTGACCTTGGCTGAAACAGAATGGGTTCCAGAATGGGTTCCAATATGGCCACCCGAATAAGAAAACGTTCCATTTTTGGTACCTTTCTTGAACTTTCTTGTCAAGATTATTTGCTTTGGGATCTTGGATATCTTTGCATGTGGGATTAATTCTTGCATTCCTATTCAGAGAAAGCAGCAGGATCTACCAACACATCAGGCACTTGTCATGGTCAAAAATTGATGTCTTCCAGCTACATTGCAGGCTGAAATGGAGCGAGGCGCGTAAACATCAGGAACTTCACCCCTGTGGTCTGGTTTTCTGGTGGCTGTTCTAAATGCCATTGGGAGGAGAAATAGTATTCACAAGCCTCTGCCACCCGAAAGCGCGGTTCATAGGTCAGCGATGCCATCAGACCGAAATCCGCCAGGGAAATTGCACGGTGGAAGTCTTGGTCATAGCCCTGGCGGAAACGAAAATTGCACACGGGCAGAATGCTTCGGAGGGGCACCTCAGGAACCTGCGGCGCATGCAAAGGATCCAGTGGATTTCCTGGGTCAGGTTGGAAGGAATAGAACTTGGTATGGTTCAGCAGGGGCCCAAAAGCACTCCAATCTGAGTCCACGCCATAGGTTTCTAATGCAAAACACACCAAGATCAAGAAGAGAAGATGGACCAGTCCCATGATGTTGACACTCGCCATTCGTAATCTCTCACCAGCAACGATCCTTCGCTGAAAGCCAAACTGTCGCATCGCAGACAGGAGCATCACTACCTGAAATCATACGTGATCAGAAACTGAAAACATCAAAGACATCAAGTGACATCAATGAGGTGGTTCTCTAATAACATATCCCCATTAAATTTGAAAATAGCATTAACATCCCAGTAGATGAAAAAATCCCTCATTTCTATTGATGTCTTTTCTATTTCGTTCTATTTTGCTTTTGCTATCTACTGCCATCTATGACATCTGCCTGACATGGACGCTCTCTCCACCTGGGTGTTCAAAACCCCCTGTCATTCGATTCTACTGGCTAAATGTGATCAAATGTGATCATGTTTTATATCTTGGACTATCTTGCAAAGTTTAAGATAGTCAAACCCTCGAACTCATCATCCTCAACCACCAATATCCAGCACCAATAAACCACTAACCACCAGGGCTTTTGCCCAGTCCTCCAGTCACCGAGTAGCCGCTGCATCGTTATAGGCATTGCCTGCTGTGGAGACCACCACGAAGTTCAGCAGCACATTTTCCACCAGGGACTCACCGAAGCCCCACAGCCATCCCAGGCTGCCTTCGCCAAAGACGCAGAAAATGCGTACGAAGGTCCCACAGGACAACACCAAACAACCTATCATCACTGCTGGAAACCGAAAGGAACTGAAGACCAAAGCTGATAATCCCAAGATCATCAGAAAGGGATATCTTTGACGTTTCTGTGCATGGACGCTTAAGGAACACCACTGTTCGCTCCAGTCTTGTAGCGCTTCGGGGTGTGGGAAGAAGCGTTTCACCTGAGAGTCGCGCCCCTCACCATGTGCAATTTTCAAGATCATCCCATTGGAATCTGCTGGTTCAGCTACCCGCTATCATCATCTACATCCACAATATGGGTAGCTGAACCAGCTATTGGATGTTCAGTTATTTGCTTCATCCATAATCTATCAAACAAAATCTGGAAAGCCAACCCTTGGATCAGGCAACCCATCTCGGTGGTCGTGGTGTGCATCTAGGATTCTCCGGTTCTCTGAGACAGGCCATGACCGACATGATGCTGGAACACACCAGGCCTGCCACGATGGCCCAACCGTTCCGATCCACCAGCAGTCCCAGCACCAGCGCTGTGAGCGCCAAAGATATGGGAAGGCAACGCCCCACGCAGTGCATCCAATGACCACAGAGGACGTAAATGGAACGACCTTCACCTTTGCCAAGAAAATACCTCACTATGGATTGATGTTTTTGAGGAAAAACGCCTTGAAAATCAAGACAATCAAGTGATTCTATGAAATGATCATGATTCACCATGATTCCAAGATGTTCCAAGATGTTCAAGTTGGTTTATGTTTCCAGATGTTTCCAGTCACATGGGTGCAACAAACAAATGACTTGGAGCCGCCAGATACATTGCAGTCCTCTGTGCGGTGTGTGTGCGCAATCGCACAGCTTCTTGCCCCCTTGCTACATGCCAAGCCAATCGAAAGTGATGTGCCTTGAGGTACACTTCACCAAACAGCCACAGAAAATAGAAGACGAGGATATGGAACACTCCTACCAGGATGTTGAAAACAAAGCCTCGATCTATCTATAAATATCTATAAATATCCATAAACTCCATCAAGATGTAAACTGGAGTCACTTTCCAGCCCCAGTCCTATGGCAAGACAAATGCGAGCTCCTTCTATTGCAGTGTTGTCGTCCCCGACCATCCCATGAAAAGCCAGGATCATGGGGACCACGTCCAGAGAGACGTGCAGAAAGACTTGGAAGAACACATCCTGGGCAGGTTGAGCCATCCTTTACCCATGACGGATCCGGCTGGTGCTGGTATATTAATGCTAACATGACTGGGGTATATTGATGGGATCCATGTTACCATATATAGCAGCACCATGGATCCTATGGGTTAGAAACTAACCATGGCAACTATGGTTCTTGGAGCATCATCCAAGAAAAAACGTGCAAATAACGACATCGACGATGAAACATACTCTCTGGTAATCAAAATGGCAATGGGAAATCCTACATCTACAAATGATTTCCCAATCAACCACCCCGTTTATATGTATATATACATATATAGTTACATTATATATACCGGATTTCAGTTGCCATGTTGGATTACCAGAGGGTATATTGAAACCATGAACCAGCATCCATCAGTTTTTGACGCCGGGTGAGGCACATCGACCAATTGTTTGAATAGAACTCACCCGCTTCAATCTCTTTCCAAGCATCACCCACCAATAATCTGCGGTAGCCCTCGAAGCTATCTGGTCGCCAGGTATCTTTGCAAAGTAAATAGGTGAAACGTAGTAAGTCGCTGGTAACACTCAACAAAATGTAGCACCTGAAGAATGCGCCGAAGAAACCCAAAGTCACGTGATATTTGAACTCCATGCTATAGAAAGTGACCACATGAAATTTGGTTTCAGAGAACCACTGGATGTAGCATCGTAGCATGGCTGCAGCAAAGTTCACAACAATCAATGAGGCGCAGGCAGCAAACAAATAACAATGCCATAGTGCAATAGCGCCAGCAGCCCAGGATCTACCAACATTGGCTAAGCTCAAATGACCCCAGTCAGGGATCACATATCCAATGCATATGCCAACACGTTGGCAACAACTCAATCTTCCAGCTTCATCTTCATCACCGGAATCCACATCTTCCAAGAGTGAAAGTGACGGACCAGAAGGGCCATAACCTGCAGTGATATTCCTGATGCTAAGTCCACTACTCACCGCACCAAGATCACCATAGGTCCGGGAATGTTCGGCTGCGGCCTGCGAGAAGGTGTGCAACATCCTTAGCAAAGCCACTTCGTGGATGCAGGTACCCCAGGTACCCGAACCATACAGCATCCAAAAAAAGAACCAAATGCATTTCCACGTGCTGAAGATAGATCCACTTGCCAATTTCTGCAATAGGATTATAACATATTCTCAATGGGATTTTCAGGATCCTAAATTGGAGGTACCTACCATATATAAGGCCTATGTAAGAGAACATCCCCATAAAATATGGCCTCATATGGTACAGTACCTCCATTTTAGGATCCTGAAATTCCCATCGATATTATAACATCTTCCATTTGCGTCTGAAGCCGGGAACGAAGGAAATCGCATCGCAGACAAGGTGCAGCCAACACGATCTGAATCTGTCTGACACCTTTATCTTATGCAAATGTGAGAGATTTCCATGGCATTGCTGTGACCCCACATTGCCAAACCAATGCTTGTTTGACAAGGTCTATCAGAGTCTATCAGATCAGGAGAAACATTTAAAACAAGTGAAAACAACGAAAACAAACCATAGAATCCGATAGAATCCATAGAACATACAAATTCACATACAAATTCATGTGAAGCCATGATTTCATGCTGCAGCGTGTGGTCAACTCCTGACATCGCTCTTTCGCCGAGCCAAAGCCTACACGTGACGTCTGCGAAGCTACGACCATCCAAGAATCGCCAAAGGACACAGTCCATGGGATTCCTTGATATATTCCTTGATATTCCCAGGAAATCTTTGAAGTCATGATTTTGCAGGAAAACCGGTAAATCAATGGATCTCCCCAATCTCCCCAGTCGCTTCGCGAACGTTTTCTCGCGACGGGTCCTTTGGACCGGTCACTGCTTTTGGCGTCGTGCCCACCTGAGTTAAGGTGCCATCGTTGAACCCCCATGATGCCACGGATGTTCCCACTCAGAATCTTGATCCGCAAAGCCATGTGACATTTTCCCAACTTGTGCAACGAAATACTGCCATGATCCGGCCAAGAATCCTGGGATATGGGGAAACCTCCACTAAAATGGACAGCCCCAAGCCCCAAGCTGAGCACAAACTTTCGCCAGGCCACTCTAAGTGATCTTGGGGAAGATCATGGATGGCTTTGGATGTGGCCGCCAAGGCGGCACCCTGTCAGGAACTTACGAAAAGATTCAAACCATATCCATTCCCAGAAATTGAAGCCCAATGAAATACTTGAACTATGTTATATAACTATGTATAATGTGAATATATATATATATTATATACGCATGTATGCTAGCTGATGCTAGATGGATCTAGATTTCCGCTTTGTTTGAGGCTGCATCTTTCAACTTTTGCAGCAGCACAGCCTCATTCCTGGATCAGCCAGTGGAACCCGGCAGCTGCAAATCGCGGATTGACCAGTGAATGAAACATATCAACAAACCATCCTCAGCAAATGATAACAAAAACATACAAAAGCTATAAAAAAATAGAATAAATTAGAATGTGTAAATATGTGCAATGTCAACCTTGGATAAATCAACCCCTTAGGAATCCATCAATTGGCAAGATACATCACTGGAATCCGTGTGCCCCGTGTGCCTGACCCTGGCCCTGGAGCTCTGTCACACAGACTCGGCCACGGTCGAATGTCAAGGCCTGAGCCAAGATTTCCGGTCAATTGGCCATTGAACTTGAGAAAACACACCATCTATGGCAGTTCTATGGCAGTTCTATGGCACTTTCGACCAATTTATGATGGTGAATAGTGGCTTGTGAATAGTGGAAGACCATCCTTATACATCAAAATCCTTGGAGAAATTCAACGAAACCAAGCAGCAGAAACCATCTGTGGCAGGGACCAAACCGTCCTCGGCACCCAAATGACGCTGACTGGGATAGATCATCCACCTCAAGGTGCCAGGCAGTTGAGATGAGAATCACAGAATGACCAATAACTTTGTAATTTGGACTTCCGACAGGTCTTAAGATATGACATATTAATACAAAAAATATGTGTGGGGTCAAAGCTCTGGTAGCCTGGTAAACCCCAAAATCGCCGGTAAAGAATTGTTGATCCAATGTTATCATCCATCCCCAGTACATCAAGTGACTTTGGTGACTGTTCCTGGAACAACTTTCCGACTGTTTCTTGCCTGGTTGGCAATGACAAAGCTTCCTGCACCTGCACAAGTCTGCGGGTGCCATCGTGCCATCACATGCCCAAAGTCCCAAAGTGCCCTCGCAACATGGGTTCTACACGTTTCTACCATGTTGATGTTACAGTTTCGCCCGATTTAACTCTATTTCCATTGGTATCTGCACCAAGATTCGCTTTCTGTACCCCATAAAGACATATGAGCCACCCAGGGCTTGCGTAAAAAACCGGCAATTTCTGGCACTGCCTGCCCCTCAGGTCTCCGTTCGGGTCGCCTTCGGTTCACCTACGCGGAAATTAGGGGACGCCAAAAGCCCAGTGTTGCGGTGCCAAAAGTTGGCATATGAAGAAAACAGATCCAAGGACATCCAAGGACTAGTTGTTTTGGGAGCAAATGTTGAAGTATGTTGAATTTAAATGGATGTAAGTGGTTTCCAAGTGGTTTATAAGTGCTTTCTACAGTAAGTGGTTTGGAAGTGGTTGAGACACTTGTGACATCCATCGGATCCTGAATGATCCTGACAGTGGAGAGGACAGCATCTCAGTAGCTATGTCGAACCAAACTGTAGTCCGCGGCTCATGGGATTTTAAGATTTTTATGGGAAAAGTCAACATATTTTTGTTGAGCTACCCATAGCTACCCTCATAGCTACCCTCCAACCGTTGCACCAGGACAACTTCCGCGTCGTTTTCAAAGAAAAAACGATGGCATTTACTAAAAGTCTGGGTGCTGATATATAGTACTTCACATGGAGGTACTGGGATTCATCAAGTATTCGAAATATCATGTCAATAAATGTCAACAATATATAATATCAATTTGCTATCAACAATGTGTATATGTTTATTCCTTTGTGCACCCCCATCCTCATACGTTTTCCATATCCCCAGCCACCCATCCATTGGGCCCTCCGTCCCTCCGTCGCACCGAAGGAAAGACCGTGGCAGGTCGGAGCACGGCCGGGCCAGCCGCGCTTCCGGCCAAGGCCGAAACGCTGCGCTCCTGCGGGTTTTTTGGTGACCCCCGGAAGTCACCCTTGGAGGTCAGTTGACTCCTTTTTCTGCATGCTCTATACATACCATATGTATTATTAATATGTCTATATGTGTATATATATAATATATATATATATATCATCAAATGTAAATGGAATCAATGTCAATACACAGATGTTATTTTTTAGATGGGAATGGCCTCTTGAACTTAAACCTCTGTGGCTTTCCCACGCCGGTCTCATCCGGTCTCCGAGCTCGGTACTTCGGAGAGTCCTGCAATCTGGTCGCCATTCGTGAAATTTGAAGTGAAAGCAACCGATGTTTATTACATTGCTGGCACTGGCTGAATCATCAAGTTCATGAACTTTGCTTCCTCACAGTTTTTGGGTTAAATTTGCGGCCTTTGCACCTGTAAGTGTCTGAAACTTTCGAAGAAAATATGTCCAAGCACATATTGATCTATTGGACATAGCTTTATAGGGTAGTCAAAAGCTTGGCACTGTGCCGGTGTTCGAGCCACATGCCGGTGAACAAATGGAGAAGTGATGAAACTTGCAGAATCAGTGACAGTGGATGTCTTGCAAACATCGTCACACACCCACTGGTCATGACCCTGCAGCACCCTGCACCAACTTTTGATCAAGCGTTGATCAAGCGAGCTGCAGGCACATGCAACCACGCCGCCAGTTCTGTTGAGACGACGTAGCTGCACGTAGTGTGCCAAGTGCAGAAGTATTAAAGCCAGCATCGCCCTCCAGACCAATGACTCCGTCAGATTGCATTTGCCCAGTAAACAGAAGGCGCAAGTTCGTGGTGTTAGCTTAAAGACTTAAAAGCTTAAAGCATCAGTTTCTTCATGCTGTCACTGTGATTTTTGGAAGGGAGCTTGGCTCATCCATCGACAAGGCCTGGCAGATCCAGGTCTTCGATCTTCGATGATCGATGTCTTGAGATCCTCTGCGTATGAGAGGCAGGCGACTCCATCGCCCAGAAATGCGCTTCGCATTGACCATGGCTGTTCCGTGTGCCGGAAACCTTCAAAATTGGGGATGTGATAAAGTATGATAAAGTGCATAACAAGATCATAACAACATAACGGATCCCCCTGGAAATCTTGCATTCATTGTTCTATCATGTTCTATCTTTCCCTAGCTATCACGGTGCAATTGCAGTGCAAGAGCAGCAGCTGAGGTCAGTCGAATCGAATTCCACTGCCCCTTCGGCAGCGATGATCTCAAATGACTGGCTGACGCGGAAACCACATCTGACTGTCAACCTATCAAGCCGTGGACCTCGGTGTTTGAAAGGTCAAAGGGAAACCATGATAGCCATGATAGCCATAGAGCTTCACCAATCCCCTCTCCCTAGAAACTGATAGAAACTGAACGTCCCCCAAATCATGAAAACAAGGGTCCATTCCCATTTTTTTTGGGGTGTTGTGAATTCTCGTCTTCAATTGCGGCACCAGCATACCCAAGATGTGACTCAGCCGTAATTTTTCATATCTATCAACCTTGAGGTATTAGGTTTCGCCTTTTGAAATCGAACATGTTTAGTTCTTTCAATGAAGGTTTTGACTCATGACTTGATCAATTATTCGGAGAAAGCTTGGAGAAATCCTGCTTTTTTATGAAAAATGTCTTGATATGTCTTGATTATTAGGGAGAAGCGTCTCATCCTATACTCAATGGTATCACATTCTGTAAAAACAAAAACTATTCAAGGTGTGTGTTATTACTTCCCCATTTAGTATTGGGATATATTGGGATGTATTAGGGGGAAAGGATTTACAGTTGTAGATGAAATAATCCTGGCATACGGCTATCGCCGCGTGATTTCCTAACATCAGCCCAGTATACCATGCAGACGGCAATCGTCCTCAGAGCATATCTTGACAGTCTTGGGCTGTCAAGCTTTGCTCCGCTGTGGCTGCTTCCTCCACATGCATCGGTCAGCCGTGGAGCCACACGGAAACACGGAAGAACAAACACCAGCCGTTTCAGCCTCCAAAGGCCTCAAAGGCCTAGGGCTCAGTGCTGAGCAGTGCTGTGCGGAGCAGCCGAATATGTGTGCCATATGTGTGTGTGCCACAAAAACACTATCTACATGGGCAAAGCCATCGGCCCTGGGAGTTCCTATTGTCACCAAGCTGTCAAGGCGTCACATCCGGTCAGATTTGGTGGTACGAACAGGAGCCACTGGCGATTCCTCACTCACGTCACGGGAGAAACGATTGCCAGTTCCGCAGATATCTTCGGTGGTTTTACTCCGATCACGCAACATTCCAACGGTCAGCAGGGAGATTTTGTGCTCCAGATCTTCCACTTTCTTGGCCAACTTTTGAATCGTGGCCTTGTCACCATGTACGTCCTTCTCATTGGCCACGTTGACAGGATGTGGGTGTGGGACTGGAAACACTTCGGAACCTTGGGATTTGCATCTTGCCAAACCATGTGAAAACACCCAACAGTTTCGTGAAAACATGTGAAAACTTGTTTTTCTTCTCAACCATTTCCCCTACTTGTAGGATCTTGTAGGATCTTGTAGCTGAACCTTGAGGTAAGGTATCTGAAGTATATAATCCATATTAATCAATTATAATATATTATAATTCTATTTTTATCCAATTCTTCCAGCCTTTTCCAGCCATTCCCAAACCAGCTTGACATCTCGGCACTTGAGGAGTTTTCACTGGCCGTCACATCCATGTAGCTCTTGGCTGGGCTGCGCCATTTCTTGGGCACCACGGAGTCCAAATGTCGATTCCTGCGACTGAGATCGGCGCGCATCTGAGCCAAGCCAAAGAGAGTGGCCTTGTCGTTGTTGGTCTGAAGACTTCCTGGGACAACAAAATCACATCAAGGGTTGAACCATGGCTTGCATGAAGGGTTGGTATGGGTTGGTTACAGTTACGGTTGATGAGTTAGTTGTTGCTTCAACTTACAAAACTCGGGAAGTTTTTTCATGAACGTTCATTGGGATGACAATAGAAACATGCGTGAATTCTCGATCGATTGGTGCTAAATTCCGGTATGTTGGGATTGAAATAATTCGAAAACGTCTCCAAAATCACCAACCAGCTTCCATCATCGAACTGATGTTCCCAGAAATCCAAGCCAATCAACTCACAAGCGCGCGAGCAACGGAAGCCGAAGAGGAAATCCACCAGCATCACAATGACATAGGTAAAACCCAAGGAAATCCCGGTCAAGATCAGAACTCCTAAAGTTTGGATCCCCAAATGTTTCCATCCATCTGTACCTCCACCGAAGAAGATGCCCACCACTTCGGAGTTTCCGGCTCCGCAGTGTTTTTGTGCGAACAAACTCACGGCAATTGTACCCCAAGCGCCAGAGGGTCCATGGGCTGCGACCTCAAAGGAAAATGATGAAACATATAGGCCTAGCCAGGGCCTAGCCTATGTCTGCAACAACTTACGGATCATGGATGACCCTTGGAAAAAATAAAGCTTTGTATTTGTTTCATACTGTTTCATGGATATTACAGGACCTACTAATATGCTTGGAAGCCTTTGGATTGTTTTAGGTTGTTTCAAGAAGTGAATGCAACCCGGGCCCATTGGACCCATTGGCGTCAGCTGCATGTGACAGACCATTATCCCCATCATAACCAGGTCCTAATCCTGCAGGATCCTGCAGGATCCTGCCTGATTCGAACTCTGAAAACCCACTTCACGATCCTTCACCATGAACATCATAGTTCATCATAGAATTAATCATAGTTCACCATATATTTCAGCCATATTTAACAGCTGAAGTACAGCACCCACTGCATCATCCACTTGCACATAGACCAAGAGTTCTTCCACCGACAGCGTCAGCAGCGACGCAATGAGACCCACCAGTGGTGCGATGGGCAACGGGATCACGGTACAGCAGGCGCAACTGGCCACCAAGCCCCCAATGACGGCGTTGGTGAGCTCCGGGACACGGACCACCGAGGAGCGAGTCCGGGCCATGGAATAAGCCATGCCTGGTGGGAGGATGTTCTGAAAAAATGATGAAAAATGATGAAAAAATGATGAAAAATGATGAAAAATGATGAGTGGAATGGACCATATTCCAAGATGGTAATGAACATTTTTGGCAAATGAAATTCCCATGATAGCAATGAAAATTGCCAAAAAAATGGAATGATTTGGATTTGGGAATTTCAAGTTTTTTGGCAAATTGAATCAAATTGACCCGTCAGGCTATCCAACTTTGGGTGAACTTGGGAGCCAATTGGCAGCCATGGGCCGCATCTTTCACACTCGAAGTTGCAGGGCATCATGGATAGTAGGCCAAATGGGCCCAATGATGCCCAATGCACATCTCAAGAGCAACCGAGAATTTTCCAAAAAAAAATATGCCGAAAAATCATCCGAATTCAAATCGTCCTTAAACAACCAGAGTGCTTCGTTTTATCCCAACCAGTTAACCGTGCCGTGCCGTTCCGTGCCGTGGTGACGCCTCCAACGCCAGCCCCCGCTGCTGCCAGCAAAGTGGTCGCGGAGGCATGGGCCATGACGAGGTCATTCCCGTCAGTGATCGAAAAGGTGGAAGCTGGGTTGAACGCCAAGAACCCCACCAACCTCAGGAAAAGTCACGCAGAAATCAAGTCACTTGAATCAAACGAAACCAAAAAAAAATGGATTACTGGATTATACTGGATTGCTGGAGATGGAATGATATATGTATATCTGGATGGATTGTGACTGACGAGATATCTGATTATTAAATCACTTGTGGTTCGATTTCGGTGTTGAAGAATGAATCTGAGGCTCGAAATCTGGGCCTAAGAAGCGATAATTTCTGGCATCCGAATGACTGCAAATAACGGTAGGCTTCATTCTTGCATACAGACTACTGAACTGCATCGTGGAAATCATTGCCCCTATCATACCCTATCTTTGTTGGTTAAGATTCCGTCCCTAAATTTTTCCCAATCTTACCAACCAGCATACCTCAGGGGCAACCAGCATCCAAGATATCCAAGGAACAGCAGGAAGGTTCCAAACAGCAGCTGCACCGGATGTCGGCAACGACGGAACGGGATGAAGACCTTCTTCTCCACGGGGTCCTGGCGAAAAAGTTACGGATGCACCGAACCCATGGGCAGCCATTGGAAAGGCCAGGCACCGAAAAACTTGGCAGACTGCTGATCCAGGTGGATTGGTATGGTATATGATATATGATATATATATATGCATATGTATGTATATATAATTATATATATATATGTATTAATTTAATCTAATTCATATTTTTTTTTGTATCAGGATTTGTCAGATTCATCCAATCAATCTGCCAGAAGGCCCCCCACCTCTGGAACGCGGTAGTACTGATCGTTATGTTTCTCTCCAAAGATCCAACTCAAAGGTTTTCGCCAAGCTCGATACTCTGGGAAGCGCCCAATACGTGGCCCACAGATCATGGTGCTGACCTCGGCCCAGAGCGCTGGGACAGCACTGGGAATGACTAACAGTTTGCTATTGAAAATGGCTATTTATAGTGGATTTTCCCATGAAAAATGGTGATGTTCCATAGTTTTCTGTAAGTTTACCAGAGGGTACAGCACTGGGAATCCTGGGAATCCTGGGAATCTGGCCAAAGCGCTTACAGCCCCCACCAAATGCACCGTTGCAGATCCTGCAAGGCTGGTCAAACTCACTGGGCTTGCTACGGTCACAAAAAATTAAACAGCCATCCGACAAAAATCGACAAAAGATCCCAGGTATTTCCAAGGTCTGAACTGAGGGCCATATGGCGCCTGCAAAGTCGACAAAGCCCATCTGTTGCAACCAGCCGCCGCCCCAAACCAAACGCGCAGAAATGGGATAGACGAGGCCTTGCGAAGCCGCGCCGAGTGGTTGTAACATGTTGTAACCCATCCGAACCACCATGGCGAATAACGTGGCGAATAAATAGAAAAACACGACCATCACCGAACTTTCGGCAGTTATGGCTGATTTTGCAGTACGACATTGGCACCGAGCGGGTGGCAGTTGCCTAAATTCTATCTTTTACCTAGCCCTATTTAAGTGATGATCAGTTGGGGGTTGTCCTAAATTACTGTTCCCACCAAGGCCTCTTGGGCCGAGCTTGCGCCAACCTTGCGCGTTTCTTGCGCGACCACACGCCCGGATCACTTTCATCATTTCAGTTGTTTTTCATCATTATTCTCGTACTTGTTTTCGAATGTTAAATATTTAGTATTCACTTAGTATTTCGTAGTATTTCGTGCTGGGAAGTAGTTTGTGCAAGCTTTGTAGTACACAGTAGTACTGGGAAGTAGTTTGTGCAAGCCATGTAGTGCAAAGTAGTACTGGGAAGTAGTTTGTGCAAGCTTTGTAGTACACAGTAGTACTGGGAAGTAGTTTGTGCAAGCCATGTAGTACAAAGTAGTACTGGGAAGTAGTTTGTGCAAGCTTTGTAGTGCAAAGTAGTACTGGGAAGTAGTTTGTGCAAGCTTTGTAGTACACAGTAGTACTGGGAAGTGCTTTGTGCAAGCTTTGTAGTGCACAGTAATACTGGGAAGTAGTACTGGGAAGTAGCTCTGCACGTGTTGAACTTCTGTGGTTTCAGAGCGGTTTCAGAGTGGTTTCAGACCCCTTCAGGGTGTCTAGCTGACCTTGATGAAAAGAACAATTTACAGACAGAAAAGACTTGAACACAACATACAAGGAAATACATTTAAAGAGCAGACAGATAGATAGATAGATAGAGATAAAGCAGCCAACGCGGTCCGGAAGACATGCAGCAGCAGCCCGGAGATGGTGAGCAGGAAGGTGTTTCAGAGTGGTTTCAGACCTCTTTTGGGCTTGTTTTTTGGGTACCCCCAGCTTTGGGAGATGAAAAAAGAAAGAGAAAAGGTAGAGAAAGAGAGAGAGAGAGAGAGACAGAGAGACAGAGAGAGGAAGAGGGAGAGGAGAGAGAGAGCGTTGTAAATGGTGAGCAGCGGGTGGTTTCAGAGTACGTTTTGGGTGCTTGCTTTTCCGGACCGCTGCACGTCTTTCCGGACCGCAATATCTACAATTAGAGTACTTTTTGGGTGCTTGCTTTTCCGGACCGCTGCAGGTCTTTCCGGACCACAATGGCTACAATTAGAGTACGTTTTGGGTGCTTGCTTTTCCGGACCGCTGCATGTCTTTCCGGGCCGCAATGTCTACAATTAGAGTACGTTTTGGGTGCTTGCTTTTCCGGACCGCTGCTCATCTTTCCGGACCGCAATGTCTACAATTAGAGTGCGTTTTGGGTGCTCGCTTTTCCGGACCGCTGCATGCCTTTCCGGACCGCAATCGCTACGATTAGAGTACGTTTTGGGTGCTTGCTTTTCCGGACCGTTGCACGTCTTTCCGGACCGCATGTGTTTCAAGTACAATCTGTTTTGAGTCCCTTCTTTTGGATGTCTTAAGAACTAGGTAGCCCCATAACCGGCCCCAAAAGAGGTCTGAAACCAGTTCGACACATCTTCCTGCTCACCGTCTCAAGACTTCTTCTTTCTCTCTGTCTCTTTCTCCCTTCTCTTCTTTCTTTTCCCGTTCTTTCCTGTTTTTTCTCCAAAGCTGAGGTAGCCTACGGACAAAAAGAGGTCTGAAACCACTCTGAAACACCCCGCTGCTCACCATTTACAACGCTCTCTCTCTCCTCTCCCTCTTCCTCTCTCTGTCTCTCTCTCTCTCTCTCTCGCCTTCTGTTTGTCTCCATCTTCCATCTTCCTCTCTCTCTCTCCTCTCTCTCTCTCTCTCTCTTTCCCTCTTCCTCTCTCTGTCTCTCTCTCTCTCTCTTTCTCTACCTTTTCTCTTTCTTTTTTCATCTCCCAAAGCTGGGGGTACCCAAAAAACAAGCCCAAAAGAGGTCTGAAACCACTCTGAAACACCTTCCTGCTCACCATCTCCGGACTGCTGCTGCATGTCTTCCGGACCGCGTTGGCTGCTTTATCTCTATCTATCTATCTATCTATTTATCTATCTATCTATCTGCTCCTTTTTCTTTGGATGGCCTATTTACCACCCTGGTTATCTATGTTTATCAACTCGAGATATTAATATTTAAGATCTAAATCAGATACGGTAGTAGTAGTAGTAGTAGTAGTAGTAGTAGTAGTAGTAGGTCCTAGTAGTAGTAGGTCCTAGTAGTAGTAGGTCCTACTAGTAGTAGTAGTAGTAGTAGTAGTAGTGGTAGTAGTAGTAGTAGTAGTAGTAATAGTAGTGGTAATTGTAGTAGTAGTAGTAGTAGCAGTAGTAGTGGTAGTAGTGGTAGTAGTAGTAGTAGCAGAAGTAGTAGTAGTAGTAGTAGTCGTGGTGGTGGTGGTGGTGGTAGCGGTAGTAGTGGTAGTAGTGGTAGTAGTAGTAGCAGAAGTAGTAGTAGTAGTAGTAGTAGTGGTGGTGGTGGTGGTAGTAGTAGTAGTAGTAATAGTAGTAGTAATAGTAGGAGTAGTAGTAGTAGTAGTACCAGTAGTACCAGTAGTAGTAGTAGTAGTAGTAGTAGGTCCTAGTAGTAGGTCCTAGTAGTAGTAGTAGTAGTAGTAGTAGTAGGAGTAGGTCCTAGTAGTAGTAGTAGTAGTAGTAGTAGTAGGTCCTAGTAGTAGTAGGTCCTAGTAGTAGTAGGTCCTAGTAGTAGTAGTAGTAGTAGTAGTAGTGGGAGTGGTAGTGGTGGTGGTGGTAGTAGTAGTAGTAGTAGAGCAATAGTAGTAGTAATAGTAGGAGTAGTAGAAGTAGTAGTAGTAGTCAGTAGTAGTAGTAGTAGGAGTAGTAGTAGTAGTAGTTGTTGTTGTAGTAGTAGTAGTAATAGTAGTGGTAATGTAGTAGTAGTAGTAGTAGTTGTTGTTGTAGTAGTAGTAGTAGTAGTGGTAGTAGTAGTAGTAGTGGTGGTAGTAGTAGTAGTAGTGGTAGTGGGAGTGGTAGTGGTGGTGGTAGTAGTAGTAGTAGTAGTAGAGCAATAGTAGTAGTAATAGTAGGAGTAGTAGAAGTAGTAGTAGTAGTCAGTAGTAGTAGTAGTAGTTGTTGTTGTTGTAGTAGTAGTAGTAATAGTAGTGGTAATGTAGTAGTAGTAGTAGTAGTGGTAGTAGTAGTAGTAGTATTAGTAGTAGTAGTCGTCGTCGTCGTAGTAGTAGTAATCAAAATGTTAATTAAAATAGTACTTGTAATAATGATAACAATAGTACTTGCGCGTACCTTGGGCCGCCCTTGCGCGAAACTTGCGCGATGCAGGTTTTAGACCATGGGAAAAATGCGAGAATAGGTCCTTTACTAAAAACCTTTCTGGGGTTTTTGGACGGCTCCCAGTTGCTCTACAGGGCAAATACTTCTCATTTTCGAAGGAATTGAAAGCTTAGAAAACTGTATTATACTTGTATAGAACTATACCTTCAATGATTGCACTCCGTGTAACAACCAATGGCTCGCAGCCCACCTGAAGATATCCATAAAACCATCTAAAATCGAATGATTTCTCATAGTTTCCATGGAAAAATCGCAGGGCTTCCCATGGCCATGTGCGAACGGTGCCTGTCATCATGGTAGACAGGGCCAAGTAGGGGAAGAATGCCACACGGCCTGCGAGGGCCTTGGGCGTGCTATGGATCTATGGCTCCGCCATTCATCATTCTGAACCCTGTAATCATACTACAATGTGGGGCCCCCCAGTTATAAGTTGGTTTATAAATCCATATAAATCCCATTAACTATAGTTATAAGTATCATAAACCATAATTATTGGAGTTGTAAACCAACTTAGCTATCGAACGGGGGCCCCACATTGTATGCACATGACTATATCATATAATATCCTTCCCTGAAAAACAAACATAGTTAAATCACATAGTTAAATCATAGTTAAATCATAGTTAAAATTAAAACATCTCAAGAATTTCTGCTTCACTCCTTCTCAATCTACTTGAATCGTGCATGGCAGCTTGATGCAGGCCCTCCAAGCTTGGCTCCCAGCGCCGCTGTTGATGGTGGCTGCGGTGGTTGCATATGAAAAGCAGCAAAACCAGTGGGCCAAGTCGAAACCTGCAGAGTTTCAGTCCTATTGGCTGTGCAACCACCGAGTGGTATAGATATCCAGCATCTCTTCCATTTGTTTTGCACTATGACTGGCTGTTCCTTTTCGATCAAAGACTGCAAGCTCAAGTGGATTCATCATTGTTCCATTTGTAAAAACAGAGCTGGACGTGCACCAGAACATACCAGAACCAATCTCATTTGTAAAAACTCAGAAAGCTCTTCATCCAGCTAGAAAAATCTCACAAAATTTAAAACCAACGGCGCAGATCATTGAGATTCCATGAACCCAACATCACAACAGAGACACCCACTGCATGACCTGCATCTGCAATGCCGACATCTTCGGTCTCTCCAAAGGCGATGGTATAGCCGAAGATATAGAAAGCTAAAACACCAATGCACAGGTCCAGCAAATTCTTCATCATGATATTGGCGGCATTGTTGGGTTGTGCCTGACATGGCACATGGTCATCAGTTGTTTTTCGAGTCTGTCATCACACATCATCACACTTACCCTCTGGTAATTTAACATAGCAATGGAAAATCACCATTTTAAATGGGAAAATCCACTATAAATGGTCATTTTCAATAATTAGATATGTTAATTTACCAGAGGGTACCCAGCTAACATTTTCATAAGATCCAGGCATAGGCTGACTCCAACATGGCGAACCCGGATTGCCTCATGGCCGCTGGTCAGAGTTTTTTTCTCAACGAAAATACCGGAAACCATGTACTTGTCAGGATTGGTCATCCCGACTAAATAAGTAACAACAATATACTATGTAACAATACACTATAATTCAGCAATCTTTAATTCAACAATCCATATAGACCATATGTAGAAAACGCCCATCCGCTCCAAAGATCTCCAAACAATGGCCATGCCACATCTGGATGATCCGCCCAGCCATCGTGACGATGAACGCCACATCTGCCCGATGTCGGGTGCGAAAGGCCAGGCACTCAGGCAGAGCCTGGGAATGGCTATGGACCATGGGGAGTTTCCAGGAAGAAATGGATGTTGAAATGACAAATCCATGTGTCTTTGGATGATACTATAATGAACATCCCATATGTTATTGGATTATTGGATTATTGGATGATATTGGATTGGTTTAAGATGGTTTAAGGAAAATTGAAGAAAATTGACACCGGAAACCCCTAATATTCCATGGGAAAAACCATGGTTTCCGGTTTCGATTTTCCCTCAAAACAATCCCATAAAATGAAAAAGAACAAAGTCTGTGACATGTTGAACTTTGGAAGGTAGACTAATATACAATGAAACAATGGCCGTTCATATACAATGGCTTACTGATAATGTTCAATGGATACCAACAGTAACAGCCAATCACTGGCGCATCCATCTGATCAGAATCATGGCACGAAGCGGGCGCCTGTGCCTGCATTTTCATGAGCCAGCTTGCATCGGGCAAAACCTTGGACGGACCATTGGACGTCCAAAAAATGGAGGAAGTGACGACTAGTCGACTGAGGATCCAAACAGGTGAATTCAAGGTCTTCACCATTTTGGATGACCAGGCTATGATTCATAGACTGTTATGTTTAAAATCAGAAGCAAGGTTTCTAAAAGATCTGAGGCAACAACTTGCGCCGGATTGAGATCCATGATGCCCAGTGCACTAAGGATCACTCGGGCGGCGTCGGCTTGAGATCAGCTGCGGTTCTACGTGAGTTTTTTGCGGATGGAAGAGGTCCTGAAAATTCTCCAAACATCTCCAAACCTACAATCCTATCCCCTGAAAAGCCCCCAGTGAAAATGGTTGTTTCACAAACAGCACCGCGCCGCACCGGGCATTTTCTGAGGCCAGTCAGACTGGGACCGGTCCTTCCGGTCCTTGGGTCCTTGGTCACAAGGTCACAAGCTCAGAGCAGGAATTGATAGGAATTGTTAAATGTGCTCAATTTAACATCATTCAACATCATATTGTTAGACATGTAAAGACATCATTGTGAAATTTAAGTAAATTTAATATGGTCAAATGATGTCAAATGATGTCAAATGATGTCAAATGATGTCAAATGATGTTAAATGGGCTGCATCCTCCATGTTAAACACTGTTAAACCTCATTTTGGACTTCCTTTTGAACTTCAGATGTCCATAGATTTCCATCGGAATGGACCAGCATCCTCTGGGTCGACGGGGCCTTCAAAATGTTCCATAGCTACAGCATACGGCACATCATTGGGAAAGCAAAGGTCAAATGCAAACCAAACACGGACCATGTGTGCGGATTTGCCTGAAATGAAAAGTACTAAGATTACTAAGTAGATAACAAGTGCATAAAGATGTTGCAGGCAAGACTGGTGGCAGGACTGGTGGCAGTCCATTTCCAGCACACCCTCCGGTTGTATGTTCTTTGACTTCCAGGCTGGTCCAGGCCAACTGGATGCCAACTGGTTCAATGGGCAAATTCTGTCGGCCACAACATCAACAATCTGCTCTGTTGATTTCCACCGGCTTCTGGAGCCAAGATGCCACCCTGTTGCCAATTCTTGGATTCTTGGACTGCAGAATAAACGCGGCCTGGCTAGCTTGCCGTCACGTCATCGCCACCCCACAAGCACCGCTTGGAAGGGAAGGAATTCATCAGGTGCGTGACCGCTATTGACAAATATTGACAATTTCATATGGGTCTACTTGGGGCGGTAGTACTACGACACCACTGTCAGCATCCCAGAGATAGCAAAGCCCGTGTTCCCTGTCGATCCTGGCGACGGAGACACCACGCGCCGTCCTGCCGAGCTCGGCGTCTCAGCAGGGATGGCGATCAAGTGCAGGTGGGTGCCGGTGTACACAAAAACCTCTCCGATTGATGATGTTCTAGTCGTTGGCACAGGGTGCATGATTTTTTCCCCGCGGCTCCAAAGGTAGTCACCTGGCCGCCTATGCACATTCTCGAATTTGTGGAAAAGACGGGATCACCTGTCCGAAAAGTCTGGAAGCCATGTGTGGCGCCAGATTCAATCTGGCGCACTTGGCTTCGCGGAGCCACTTTACAAGCTTTCATCGGATCAGGCGTTCCATATCGTTCTACGATAATTAAGGCACAAAGGAACTATAAGGAACTGTCAGGTTGGTGGCTCTGCTTGAAGCCGGGCCCCACCCTACTGGAACTAAATTAAGCAAAGCTGGAACACGGATGGTCAGAAGAACCCTCAACCTGTGCAATGAGCTACTCGCATAGCTCTGAACTATTGTAACTTATATGTATATATTGTAGGAGCTGCCTCAGCTATTCAATCTACAATTTGTTATGTGGGTTGAATATGACTGTGTCCATCCATTTTCCAGCTACTCGCCATCCTTCTTGTCTCCAATCGCTGTCGGTCTCGCCGATGACAACAGGGTTGGAAGCGCATCTTCTGCCGGTAGGCTTTCATTCAAGATCCTCAAAGCCAGCTCTTGCAGTGTGCGATTGTGTGCGCCTATCGAAATCCTACAAGCTTTGTAGACGTTGCAGACTCCTAAAAAACCAAAAAATACTATATATAGTAGACCATTAGATTTATATACATGCAAAAAATCAAGTACAGCATCTGCAAGACATGGCAGGTTTTATTATTTCTCCACCAAGAAACTACTGTCACCTCTGTGGGTCCGTCCAAACGATGGGTGGATCGGGTGGAAAGTAAACATGTTTCCCATTGTTTTCAATCTTGGGTTCGACGTTATCAGAGCTATCAGACACGGTTCCACCAAACAACTGGAAAAATATGTTTTCTATAGTTGAAAGTCAAGGTTCTCGAGCAATTTGCCAAAGTCCACCTCAAAGTTCTGGTGGGCAAGAATCAGGCAGTCCTTGGTTGACTAACCGCCGATATAGAAGATTGTATAAGAGTGGTCTGGCTTTTCTGCTTACATGGCCCAGAATCAGTTTGTTGCGTGTTTGCTATCGTTTGCTCTTTTCTAACCTGCCGATACTACAGCTGATGTCCGACATTTCTAACCTGCCGATACTACAGCTGATGTCCGACATTGCCTCCGAATTCCTCGCTTTTCTTCTGGCCCGCCCGGCCCCAAACTCTCCGCGCAGCGATTCAAGAGTTGAGATTTTTTTGACTCAGACTACCAACGCAACACGATTGGTCTCCAACAATTTTGACAATTTGGTTTCTCCTATGTCCGAACTATTTAATCTACAGAGGCATGGGCAATCGACACCAAAAACACACATATTGCGTAAGAAGGCTCCCGGATGGATTTCCGTACGAAGGCGTTGGTGGCATGAAAGCCACCGGGCATTTTCTCCACCAAACTTTGGATCATCACTAGGTCCCTTTCATCAGTGGCTTTCGCATCTCTTAAGTCCAAAGTGGCTAAACCTTGGTAACGTGGACAGTGCTTTGGGAGACTGAAAACAATGACGGATTTCAATGTTCATGAGGAATTGTGGAGACGTGCCCAACTGCGTCCATTGGGTTTTACAAGGTTTTACTGTTTACTGTTTTGTTTGTTTTGGTTTGAGATACAGTGGGGTTTTAGTTCTCTTGGGTTTGTGTGCGTGTGTGTGTGTGTGAGTGATTGTGTGTAGTATAACCTGCCATCACAAACAAGAACATCAATGTGGGGTGCCACGGATCAGTGAAACATGCATTGATCTGTGATATGTATCAGAAAGGGATACCAACGGGGATGGAGTGATTCGACGACAATCATTTTCATGTGCCCATGTCGTTTACCGTTTTGATGTTCATTTCCTACTTTCCTAGAACAAGTTCGACAGCACATTTGGTTTTTCATTGTTTTTCCGGGAATTTCCCTTAGGAATCCTCGAGAACAAGACCTATCAACAGTACTTTCACTCTCACCCTGCAGTGTGTCTGTCCACACGATCTCTGGAGGACATGAGAATCATGAGACTTTGACAGGACAGGTGAAATTGTGGGCCCAGCAGTGTATTTAAAAACATGTTCGCTGCAACCCTGACGTTTCTCCATGCTGGTCTCACATATCCTTCATGCTCAAATCCTTGCGCAGGGCTAGCGTTTTCTCAAACTTTCCAAAATAATAAACCATAATAAACCCTAAAACCAAAAAAAACAAAAACCCTGAATCCAGAAACCTAAAGTCAAAATCGCTGCGTATAGGTCGTATAGCCAGTGTTTTCGTTCATTGTGACAAGTATATGATACTGTCCGGGTGTGTTATGTGGATGTGGAAGAAACGTCCGGGTTGGGGGGCAAACTTGTTTTTACATTTATTTTAACACGGTTGAAAAGTATGCAACCTAGAGCTATAGCGGGGACAGTGTCCTTAGAGTTGATGCCAAAGTGATCCAAAATGTATGAAACATACAGGGGTCCATGTCAAAAGGGAAACAAATTGTCTTCAAAGATCTCACGCACCCAGGTCTCTCGAACTTTTCCTCGATTCTGATTCAGAACCCAAACAACAATGCTGGATGAACATGAAAACATATCAAAAACCACAACGCGGGCGCGCACACACAGACCAAAATGTATAAAGTCAGGGGGGGGGGTCAATACATGTCAATACACTAACGTCACTAGCACCTATACGTACATGACTTACTGTATAAAGCACAAGGGGGTTGGAGATGGATTCGATCATTTCCGCGGAATTGTAAGCAATCGGGGGACACCATGAAGCTATTCCAAAACCTCCCCAACAATATATTGTATATTGTATAAAATCGATTTGCAGACAAAGAAGCTTCCCAGACCCAAACATGTCTTGCGCGGGGTGTATACCCCTTCCAATAGTGGTGTTTTTTAGGGTGAGGGATCAACAAGTACTGAAACAAGTACTTCCGAATCCTCATTGAGAAACATGTGGCCACCTTCATGGCAATTTCAATGCCACCTTGACCGTTCCGAAGGACTCCACCTCAGCTGTGTCAGCAAGGCTAGTGGAGTAAGTCCGGAAAATGATTTCCGGAAGGAAAAAGAGATAGACTATGTGTTTTATAGAATAAACAAATGAAGGCTACTAAGATCACAAACCTGGGACTGCCGCCTTCTTGGCATGTTCAGCCAATTCAAAACCTATTGTCGCTGCACAAAAAAACCTAATGATGCCACGCTTATCCTGGCTGACAAGTCGGCCAAGGGACTTGAGGTACAAAGAAGAAGACCTTGGAAAGAGCTCGCACGCTCACTCGCAATGAGTTTGGTTTGAAGAAGCTCAAACAAACACCATGCCCTCCGCAATGGAAGAGCCTGTTCATCCAAGACCATCACCTTGGATACCAGGGGGCCCCATGGGGGCCCTGTGCACAAGGGATTCCATCTCAAATGGTTGAGCTTCATTTCAGGAGTCTCAAATACCTTGCAGGTTTCATGTCAAGCAACTGTCCCCTTACAGCTTTCGCTGCGCAGCGACTTGTAGAAGGAAGATTCATGATAGTCACCTTGTCCAAGTTCAGCTTCCACCTTCCAAAGCTGGGCCACTTGATCCAAAACTTGTTGCAAAATGCTGAGGCTTTGGGGGTTTGCCCGACATGCGCAGAGATGCTCCTAGCAACAAGCGAATCAAAGTATACATTCATAAAATGCCCCCAAAAAATTATATATAAATTTCAATTAAATAGGTTTGTATGACTTTGTACTGACAGGTGCCTTGACCAACTCAACGGTCAATAGACATCGATTTGCTTGTATCTACAAGGCACAAGTTAGGCGCCATGGGGCTACCTTTTGGATCCCCGCAGGCGCATACAAACACATACAAGCACGTTGTAGCCCCAACCGGTCCGCGAAGCCATACATGTCAGAACACAATTTGCCCGGCTTGCCTCCCATTGATTGTTGCTGAATGTGCAAATCCAATAGGCAGTGCTCTGCCAGTCCACAGCTCCATCGGACTTCGCATTATGTCGGACAGCAGCGACAAACTCCTGGAAAGGAGTGCCTTGATCATCGATGGGATATGTTCGAAGTCCAACGGCTGGGACCACAACTGCATCCATCATGGTAACATGTGAGGAACATGTGAGGGGGATTCAAAATGTGATCACCACCACCAACATTCATGTCAGAAAATGAAGTTCAAAGACCATGGGTGGCGGGGATCGACTTTGCCATACTTTGCCAAGATACCCCAGTAGTGGCTCACGAACCAATTCACCTGCCTGGGTCCAACCAGCTCTGCATAAGAGAGCTTGCAATCCTCTGTGACTGGAATGACCAGGTTCGAGCAAATGTAATACATGGAGCGATCTTTGATGAAGGATTGGAAGAACTCATAAAGCTGTCCGACTTGTCCTTAAGGACAGTGAGATTCTGAGAGTCTTGGCTGAAGATTGACAATTTCGATGTCATCCCGACAATATTTGGATCACGCGTGGATCGCATCCCCATCCCCTATGAACCCATGATACCCATGGAACGGGAGCCGTATGGAGCCGTTCTGATCCACATCCGTCACATCCATGTAGAGGTTTGGCACAAACAAATTGATTCAAAACATGCTGCTGGGTAGCCTTCTTTCAACACTGACTAAGATGGGCCACACTTTCACTGACCATCACTACTCATCACTCCAATCATTTTCTGTTTAAGCTCAGTGTCCAATGGTGATGGCTCGTTCAGGTCCTCTGGGACAGCTTTTCAGCACGCGTGTTTTGTGCAGCCTTTGCAATTTCTCCCTGAAAAGCCGATGTCTTCGCGCCAATGAAGTCCTGGAGAGGTCTGAAACTTGCTGAGCCTCGCCAAATATCCCAGAAACAAAAGGTGATCCAACGGATAAACAATGATAAACAGAGAAGGGACCCAAAGCCAATGAGCTTTGCGGGATTTTGCGGGGAAAGATGGGAAATCGCTAGGTTTGTTTTGATTTCATATTGTTTCATGGAATTCACCGATTCACCTGTGTTCCTCATCGCTAGCAAGCTGCTCAAAACATGGTATGACATGGTACATGGCCTCTCCTGCTGCTCATCCAATAGAAAGCAATCCACAGAACGGAGCTGATGAGCACCGCCGAGGCAATGATCAGCAACAACATCCGCAAAAGGAGTTGGCCCAAGATCAAAGTGACAACCATAGGGATCAGCAAAAAGATCAACCAAAGGAGAGAAGGGATCCGAAGGAAACCCGTGTGGAAGAGCGTCGAAGGAAAATGAATGCGTACAGATCCCATGGTGGTGTCCCATGGTCCCACGGTTTCCTCGGAGCTCAATTCGAGATCTTGTCCACATGTCAATCTAAAAAGAAAGGTTCGAAAAGAATGAATGGGTTACTTTTAGATACTTTTAGTGGGCTCAAAATACATTTTTAGGGAATTCGCCAAGCTAGAAAACATCATCATCAACTTATCTGATCAACAAACATGTGGCACATGGTTCCAGCGACGAACCGAACAGCGTCCTAAAGAAAAAATCAAACATCTGACGGGTTCAGCTTGGTCTCATCATGGATCAACTGCAACTCTCTTCCTGACAGCAAAACTGGACACGGTCTCCCTTTGGAAAGGGTTGAACCTGCTGCAGAACCAACCCTTTCTCTGTGGAATTTTAACATAACCACCATTGGACCACGAGTCCAACAGGTACCCTCTGGTAATTTAACGTAGCTATTGAAAATGGCCATTTATAGTGGATGTTCCCATTAAAAATGGTGATTTTCCATAGCAAACTGTTAGTTCACCAGAGGGTATTTTCCATGTTTTCACCGGTTTTCACAACCACCCCTGGGCTTTCCCTGCCTGAAAGTGTCCGAGCCCTGTACGGCCTTCGTTTCTGGAGGTCCTCCAAAGGTTGACTGCCGGTGTTTTTCAGGGTGATGCAAGCTCCCCATCGCCACAAAAGGCGATGAGGCCGGCTGGTGGTCACCACAAGGCCATGGTCCTGGATTGAAAATCTTGGATGAACTGATGATAAACCATGATAAACCATGATAAACCATGATAAACCATGATAAACCATGATAAACCGATATGAAAAGGATTGAAAAGCTACACCTTTTGCATTTTTGCAACCTGGAAGACATCACACCAAACCAAAGCAACTTTCAAAAACATCCCGTTTTTTTACGCCATGGCCTGCAAGCTGAGGTCTTCAATATGCAGCTGGTAAAAGCACAGCCATGCACTGAGCATCAGGGCCATAATGAGGCACACAGCGGTCATCAGTCCAAAGAAAAGGCTCGTCATACTGGCATGGCAGGCCACTCTCTCAGCATCAGCATAAGCCAGCAGAAAGGAACCAACACATGGTTCGCACTTGCTGCGGCCCAAGGTTGAGATCGTATTTCCGGGACACTGTCGGCAAAGCCGCCCTTCATGAGCATAGGTACCAGCCAAACAAGGTTTACAAGTTGGGTTTCCCCAACCTTCTGCAACCCAGCCCTCTTGACATGGTGTGCATTTGGTAGCAGCAATGCTGGAATAGGTACCCGGTGGACACCGACTGCACTCATGACTGCCGGCTGCCGCATAGCTTCCTGCACGACAAAGATCGCATTCGCTGCTTCCCACCGTAGCAGCGAAATGGCCAGCTTTGCAGCTTTCACAGGTGGCACTGCCAAGACCGGCCATGGTCCCAGGCAAACATGGAGAACAATGTGCCCCACCAACTGATGAAGAGCCTCGTAGTACAAACTCATGGGTCGTGAAACCTTTACTGAACCCCTATACTGTAGCCCATACTAATTAAGTCACTGGTCATCGCAAAAGGAGCTGAATAAACTTGAATCACTGAATAAACCCTTGTCTCAAGTCATCTTAAGTCCTTTTGCAAACTGCCCACCCGCGCCTGCTGGACATTGCTGGCAGTGGACCAAAGCCGCTTCCACTGTCACAACCTCCTCATAGCCGTCGGAGCATCTTCCAGACTGACAGTTGACCTTCCCCGCTGCATCCACACCGCCAAAGGTGTCTTCGTTACCTCGAAAACATTCGAAAACCATGTGACAATGTGGAACTAAGCAGTGAGGAAAATATCAGCTGAAACCTGCTGTGTTTTCACACCTTTGAACAGTCGAAGATACAGCCCTTAGGTTGGAACTGTTGCAGAAAAAACGGGTTTGCCCAGCCACAAAGGCAATGTCCATCTCCTTTCATCAGTGGCCGAGTTGAGTTGGAAACGTTCCACTGGTGCTGGGCAAAGTGGTCATCACGACAGATACCACGTCCAGAGCCTCAACTGTTCCAGGCTGTGGCTCACCCAGCTCAAAACAATTGGAGCACGACAAAATCCTTTCTCAAAAGTGTTGGTATTAAATGATTGTAATTATATGAGGCATTATTAGATATTATTAGATATTATTAGCGCATTATTGGTATAATCGTATAACCAACCTGTATTTGCTGGTGCATCGAAGAAGCATGTGACTCCACGATGGTCTGCAGCACAAGCCTGGCACCCGCGTCCTTCCGGTCCTTCAGCGAAACCTGGGCGGCAGCCAGAGCAGTCATCCAAGTTATGGCCACCAACGCAGTCGCAAACTCCACGGAGGTTGTCGCAGCGTCCTTGCCTTGGATGGCGGCTTTGAGGTTTTTTGAGGTTTCTTGGCAGCCTCGGGATGTGGCTCAACCTCAAAACAATGAACTTCAAAAGGAATCGGATTTCTCCATCAATTTGTTCATGTTTGATGATGTCGGAAATTGTTGGAATGATGTTTAGTTTTGAACCCCCAAACGAAAAACACATCAATTCTGAAACTCGACCTGGGTGCTCGTTGCACTGTTGTGCAGGCAAGCAAAAACCTTGACTCCAAAATTGCGGCCTGTTTTCCTGTACGAGCGGGGTGCCCAAAAAACTCAGGATGTCGCCCTCTCTCCACACATCAAAGGCATAGATCTTCGGTCCACCTTGCCACTTGCAAGGCTGTCATGCAAGGAAAGTCAAAGGCCAATGTGAGCATCTATAAAGCCACTGAAGTTCACTGAAGGGGATGAAACGTGCAAAATTAAGCTTCAATTTTCAATGTTAACATAGTTAACATGTTTAAAAGCAGTTGCTTCAGCATTTTGCAGCGTCACCTTCCTCCTCCCACTCTAGGCACTTGAAGTTGCTGCTACAGTTGAGGCCATCCCCTTGCCGCTCGCAGGCATTGATCTGCTGCCGTTCATCGAGGCGGATGAGGTCAAGATCCCCATCCCCGTCGCAGTCGAACAAGCGCCACTGAAGGTCAGTCGCCGCGCTGCTTGGAAAACTTTTGAAGGGATTCTCGGCCACCTCGATCAAGGACGTCTCCTGGCCACACGGAAGTCTTCATATGTTGCTATACGGAATGGTTAGATGGAATTAGTAATGACTCAAATGACCATATACCCTCTGGTAATTTAACATAGCTATTGAAAATGGCCCATTTATAGTTGATTTACCTATTAAAGATTGCGATTTTCTATAGCTATGTTAGTTTACTAGAGGGTAATAACCATTAATAACCTAAGCCTGGGTCAGCATGTCCAACCTTCTCACTGACTGTTGCCATTGTGCTCGAGTGGCCCTGCCACTACATGTGGCTGGATTTCAAAGATCGAAGCGGCGCGATGGAAAAAGTGCGAGTGAAGCATAGTTTGAATTGCGCTAGGGACCGTTTTTGCAACCAACAGCTCAAGGGCCCTAAGTCAGGGTAGGTTTGAACCAAAAGCAACACGTGGGGAACCATGGTGCAAGGGTCCAAATGACCTTACTCTCAAACCCGTCTTATCTACATGTTACCACGTGGCAGTTCAGGCTACCAGGTCTTTACAAGTTTCCCAGCGGGCTATTCCAGCTGGTGGCTCAGGCCACACATCGTGTTGATATGTTTTCATGCTCTCGAATTACGGCCAGTCTGTACAACTTTGACCAGTAAGTCCGGACGCATAGACTTAGTCAGAGCGTCGGCCAACATTTTGGACGTGTCCGTCCAAGTCAGTTCGTCCCCGTGGGGCATAAACTCCTGGGAAGTCCGCTGGCCATTCCCGGTCCACAACGACTGTCTCAGTGCCGCCAGCTCGATCCCGAGCCTTTTGTCTTGAACTTTCTTCGGCACTTCCGCGTTCAGGTGCTCGACTAGACTCATGCAGTCAGACACCCAAACATGCTTCATCTTCATCTGGCATTGCTCGTGCCAGTCAGTCATCGTGGCCAACTTGCCGGTCATCTCACACAGGACACATCTCAGACGGTCACCGTGTTCCACAGCACTTTGGAGTGCGTATGACTCGGCCTGCAAAGTTGCTCGGCACACTCGCTTCAATGTTGACGAAGCGAACCCGATCACATGGATTCTATGGTCCTCCTCCGTTAAACGCGAAGCTGTAGTTAGATAGTGAATCCTGCCTTGCTGTGACTTGTATCCAGGTTCATTTGCAAATGACGCATCGCTGTACGTCACCACTGCCAGATCCTTCCAGTCAATCCAATTGGCCTTGTACACCAGCTTCATGTCTTGGTTCTGGTGTGCCAATTCAACAGCCTTGTTTGCCAGCCTCAAGTCTGACACTGTGGCCTTTGGATTGCAAAGTCTCTGCAGCTCATGCACCTTGTACGCCAAGTCTGCGGGACAGTACCGCGCTACCCACGCCAGTGATCCCGTCACCGACCGGAGACTTGTCAGCTCCTTTTCCGTGACAACGTCAGTTCCCTTACGGGACTTGTCAATCAAGATTGGCTTGATTCCTCTGGTGTTCTCCTCAGCATCGATTTCAATCGTGAAATCATCGTGCTGGGTAAACCGACGTCCACAGTACCTGAAGCTTCCTTCTTCAGTCTTTCCGGCTGAGAACTTTCCGAGGATCTCCTGGATTACCTTTGCTCCACTCGGCTTGTGGGCAAACAGTAGGTCATCCACGTGGGTACATAGCATCGCATCCAGCTCGCCATTTTCGTCCTGGTGGTAGTACAGGGCAGGCATCACCTTTGACGCCTTCATACCTGCTGTCTTCACCTCTGAATCCATGCGCAAGTAGAAACCTCTACCTGCATCGATTGAACCATAGATGGGCACCATACAGAGCAAACACGCTTCTGCAGGCACATCTGGATCTCCAAGTCCACCTGTCGGCTGCCGCATCAGTAGCAACCTTGTCAGTGGCTTTGCTTGAAAATAGGCATTTGTCACGTCACTTCCCTTCAGACGCAACCTTTCCGAAGCTGCCCAACTCGCCAGGAGGCAATGAGACTCCGCATCTGCTGTCGGAGCGTCGCACCTCACATCTTCGCGACTGACATCTTCGAAGTTACCGCAAATCACCAGCCGAGCTTTCATCTTGGGACTATATTCTGGGGTTCCCTTAAGGTGTTCATGTTTATCCGTTTCAACCCATTTGGATGGAATTACCTTGTGACCTTCATCCAGTAGATTCTGAAGCTCCTTTCCCCAAATGGGAATTGCAGCGTTGAAGCTTTTGTACTTCTCCCATTCTGCAGTTCGTGCTTCCATCATCAAGGCTCTGATCTCAGGTGAGACCTTTCTGATGTCTACTGTCTTGGCCACTTTCCCAGATTGAACCGTCTCCTCGGCCTCCTCAATGCGCTGTGCAATGAAAGACCTTAGAGGTTCCAAGTCCAGTTCCAGATCCATTGCTCGCGCGCGCTCGAATGGGTCTTGTGCCCTTCGAAAAACGGTGAAACCGGTCCAAGCGTCTGTTTCTTCTACGCTACTTACCTTACCCGTTTCGTTTGTTTTTACATCCCCATTCCTGAAGATCTTTCTCACTGTTGCAAAACCTGAGTCCTGAAAACCTTCTGGCAGTTCACCATCAATCATTGTGTTGTACTCACGCTTCCTGGGTTCTGCATGGACTCTGATTGCGACATCTTTTGAAATGCGCCAGTGGTCTCCATCCACTAGCTCAGCCATCATCGTGTCACCAGGCAGTGCACCTGGAGTCATTGGTGCGGCTCTTGTGTAAGGGCCATGTCGTTCAGATTGGCCCGTCTTATCTTTGGCCTTCAACCGTCTTCCTGGTGTTGCTGGGGCTCTTGACGGCGCACTGCTCCCCTGAGGGGCCTCGTCGTCCACATCACCAAAGATCCCAACTGGGTTTGGGAACTTTGGTCCTTGTTGTTCTTCGTCTTCAAGATGGATGTACTTCTGCTGCTGAGGGCCTGACACAATAGCATCTGGCAGCACAGGTTCCCCATTCAGGATGGAGAATGCCAGGGCCTCGCTCTCGTTGGCAGACCTCACACGTGCTGTGCTGCACAAAATTGGAACTCCCTCGTGCAACAGCCACAAACCATTGTGGGGGTCATGGCCAATCACACGGGATGCTGTGCTCCATGTTGTGCCACCTTGTTGTGCGTCCCTCCTATAGCAAACCAAATCACCTACTAGGTATTCTTTGTGCTGGGGCGCTGCATTGCGCGTCAGCGCACGTGCAACCCTGTTGCTTGTGTCCAAATGGACAAAGGCTCTCTGCGCACTCATTCTTGCAGCGTGTACCTTGTGATACGCCACAGTTGGATCTGTCTTCACTTCAATCACACCCAAGTCAGCGCTCTCTGACATGTCTGTGACTGAGCCTGGCATGCGTGGTTGTTTTCCTAAAACCCATTGGCTTGCACTATAGCCATTTGTTCTCTGCATGCTATTCTTTGTGGAAGTGCATTCTTGCAGCAACATCTCAAAGTCTGCAAGTCCTGCTGTTTCAGTGTCGGCAACCACTTTTCTGACCATTGCTTTTAGGATACCCCCATGACGTTCTACCTTTCCTATAGCAGCTGGGGTTTCCAAAGGGGCAAACTGGATATTGCATCCATGACTGGCTAGCATCTTGGTCACTGCGCCTCGGTTGTGAAGGCCTCGATCCATGATGCATGCTTTTGGCCAGCCAGCCCAAGCAATCCACTTGGTCATCAATGCCTTTGCGCATGCCTCTGAAGTGGGCTGTCCTCCACCTTCTTTGACAACTTCGCACATGTGAAAACCCGTTGCAATGTCAACCATCGACATCACTGAGTACTTGTTCCCCAAATGATCCCTCATTTCCAGCACATCAAAACCTAACATAGAGTTAAACTCAAAGTTGAAATGACTTCCTACTGGGTGATCCCTTGGGGGTTTTGCAGAGTCCTCGCATGCTTGGCACCTCACCAGTCGAGCTGCCTCAATCAGCTCAGGAGACGCCCTTCCTGCCTTCAGGATGTTCTTCAAAGTAGCCGGTGTTGGGTGGCCGAACTGCCTGTGCAAACGTCGGATGGCAATCCTAGTTCGAGTCTCCAGCGCGCTCTCCTTTGAACCTCATCCAAAGGGGCTCCAGGGATTGCAAGTTGATCCAAAATGAGTTGCTCATTCTCTGCTGGAGTCAGGGGCTTGTCAGGATCATTCAGCATCTGGTCGTCCGATCCAGACTGCTCATCCATTGCTTCACCAAAAAAACATGTCTGTGCATACCTATCTAGGTAAAGCTTCTCTGAATGACCTTTCAACAGCTCATGAAACTCCATACCACACGCATCTTGGAACGTCCTTGGTGCCATGCTTTCTTGACCCTCGTTCCAATCCACTGCCAGCCTGAAAAGTGCATCATTGCGGTCTCCTGCAACAAACAGGCACAGATCACCCCCAAAGCAATAACCCTTGTCAACCAGGCTCTCGAGGTATGGGGTGAAAACCACAACCGTGCATTGATTCATGTCGGCTTCACAATGGACATCTTGGATCTGCTTCCAAGTGGGATTTTCCATGTACACTGCAACCAGTCCAGGGCTCTGGGATGAGACCCTAGCTGCAAGCTTCTTGCACGTGTCTTCCCAATTGGGGTCAGCAGTCATGACATGAACATCGTTCCAACTGGTCAGATTGACTGTGGAATCCTTCAAAACCAGCATGTGAACCGATTCTTGCAAATGAGATATCCCTACCATGGCTTTCATGACTTCATCTTCATGTTGCATGATCTTCAACCCTGAGGTTACCACACTCTTGTCCTTTTTGTCCATTACTCTTGACTCACTGGACATCAAGGCTCCCAACAGCGCACATGGGTTATGCTCTGTTTTCACCTCTAGCTTCACCGCAGTCGCAACTGCATCTGATCCAGTAGTTCCACTTGGATCATTGTCGTCGTCGCTGTTGAGGTCGATGTATTTGCTAGGATGCATCGCCAAGGCCTTGGCAAAGTGGGGCATTGCAAGTTTTTCCGGGGTACCTTCAACTACTCCCAAAGCTTTAAGTTCAGGGGTTTTCTGTTCAGGGATTTCCTCTTTTGGGACAGTTACTGCAGCATGTGCTGTGGGAACTTCTTCAACCACATCCATGGGTTCTTGGGTTTCCATGGTTTCTTCTACTCCACCATCCTCTGCCATAGCAAGGTGCGTGCTTTCCTCTGTGATCTCTTCGACTTCGTCGTCCTTCTGTTCCTGTTCATCTCCATGGCCATCACCTTCGTTGTTGTCATCTCCATTGTCTCCATTGTCACCATTGTCACCTGCATCATCTGGCTCATCAGGAGGTGTTTCCTCAGCTTCCCTTGTGGGAGCATACACCAAGATCCTCCCAGTGGACTCGTGCTGATACTCCAGTTCTGTCTCCACTGGGTATGTTCCATCAACTGTCCAGCTTCTGTCAATGTAGTCGTAGATGGTGACACTCCATCCTTCAACTCTCATTGAAGGTGAAGCCCAAGATTTCCTGAGACCTTTTACACTGGATGATTCCTCTTGCAAGCACATCCCAATGTAGTCTGGCCCAAGCACTGCGACCTTCACGTTCGCAGCCATGTTGTTCTGTTCCACGGTCTGCACCTTTCTCTCTTCAGCTGTCGTGCCTGGAAAGCACGGCCCAATCCATCGTAGGCACTTCTGCTTGTAGCCACTCTGGTGGTCCACAGCAGCTGCATACCACATGGCATCCAACAGCTCCACAGAAAGACCGTGGGCATCAACTCGCTTGTTCCAGGAGGTGCCATCATCCTCCCTTGCAGGCAAGTCCAAATGACTTGGCCAACCAGCCATCACTGATTCCAAGCTCATCTGCCTTGCTGGAGGTCGTCGTCGAGGAAGTGGTGAAGGGCTCCTTGGAGGTGGTCTCGGTGGTGTCCTGGGTCGTCGATATGATACCTCTCGACGCCATGGTGCCTCTCCATAGCGACTTTCCCTTGGAGATCGTGATCGTCCTCTCCTCCTCGAGTCTCTGGAGTCGCTTCTGCTTCGTCGACCCCGATACCCTGAAGAGGCTGAAGCTCGCGCCTGATCTCTCTCAGCTACCAGCTGAGACACCACTGATGTCAGCTCACTGATCCTTGCAATCAAGGCCTCTGTCTGCTGACCATCTCTTGCTGGAGATCTCGACCTTCTTGGTGGTGGTGTTGGTGTCCTTCTTCTCGGTGATGATCTTCTTGGCGGTGTCCTCGGTGGTGGTCGTCCTGCAGGGGCAGATCGTGCTGGAGCGCTTGTTGATGATGCTCTCGATGGCTCAGGAGGCACTGGAGGCTTACCTTTGCCCTTGGTGCTCTCGGTGCTGGTGCTGAGGGTGCTGCCTTTGGTACTGGTGCCAATCCAATACCCCTCACCTCACAGACGTCATCCAGCACAGCCATGTCCTTCTCGGTCATCTCGCAACGAGCCAAATCACACAACTTCCCTGCATGATCTTCTGCTTCAGTCTTGGCATCTGTGTTCTCATGTTGGCAGTGCTCACATCTGCCACGACATCCACCTGACATCTGTTGCCAACTAGTTCGAGCATTTGCATGTGTCAAACTGCAACTGACCTGCAAGAACTCCAAGGCACTTGAAACCAACCAACCCAGGGCCACACTCCTGTGTCGATTTCTCCTGCAGTAGGCTATCACTGCAACTGATTTGCCTTCATCGACTGACTGCTTCACTCGCCTCACCAAGGCGTGCATGACCTGCATCGTCCAATCATTGCGCACAAGCCCTGCCAAAATGTCAGGGTGAGTTCCAATGTGACTCCTCAAACTCTTGTCATGATGAGGGTCTCCAAGGCCCAGGGTATCAACCACAAAAACTTCCCTGTCATCCAGACCAAAGTTCTGGCAGAGTCTCTCCAAGATGCGCGCTGATGGATCGTCGCAGTAAGCGTCCAAAGGGGGGCAAAAGTCCTTCCCTGCAGTGTAGATCAGCACTTGCTGTCCAGCAGGGGCCATGGTGCGAGGAGTGGTGCTGACATATGCCATGTTGTCAGGGGTTCTCAACTCCCTGATCTGCGTTGGAGTTTGTCTGAACGACATGTTGATCAAACCCTTGCTGAGGCAAACACACAAAAGTCCTGAATCCTTGGTTCTGTGCAACTTCAAGGTGGGTCCATTCCTACCAAGTGTGCATGTGGATGTTGCCATGTCTTTCACCAAACCCAATGCTGCTTGAGCATGCTGTGACAGCAACAAAGGTGTTGGGTCTCCAGGCTCCCCAACCACATACGTTTCCAAAACACCTGGCAGTTTCTTACCACCTTCGGGTTCCAAAGCAAATGGGATTCTGTATCGACCTTTGGTGCGCACATTGCCTGCAAGACCTTTGAATGCCTTCTGTTCATCTGACTGCATGGGTGCGTCAAAACCAATGTTCTTCAACTTGGCCTTACATGATTCCATCCAATCATATCCACAAACCGTTGAGTTGCAACCTTCATCCAACACTCCCCAAACATGTTCATCCTCAAGAACATCAACCACTGGAAGTGCATCACATTCCAGCTCGTCCTCCAAAGGGGAAAGTGCCATGTAGGCTGCAGGGGCTGTCTCTCTGGCTTCCATCACAGCCTCAATTGCGTTGCGCAAGATGTCGATCATGACACTGACGCGCATGTTGGGATCATGTTCCAACTCAATTTCACAGTCATGTTGAAATTGGTGCATCACAGCCACTGTGTCTTCTGCATTCAGAAGGAGTTCCAGCCTTTCATACTTCAACAGATCTTCTGCCAGGTCAACCAAGGGTGCAGCAGACTGACTCACAGCCCTTCCCAAGGCTTCCCTGCGCTTTCCTTCATCACGTGGCATCTCGTCCACATGGGTTCCACACAGCAGACAAAACGTTCTGCTGGTGCTCTTGGTCGATCCCTGCATGTTTCAGGGTCATGGGCATAAGTTGGGTTCTTTGGGGTTACTGTGACCTTACCACAATCCCTACATGTCTTTTTCTCAACGTATGCATTGCTTCCCCACCTCATGAAGTCCCTACAAACATGGCCAGGGATCTCCACAGGAGGGTTTGGAGGTCTCCTTGTCGCAGACTTGTGCTTCGATCCAGGCACAGGGCTTGGTCGTGGCTGCACTTCTTCTGGGGCTACTTTTGGGGTTACTTGATGGGTTCCATGGTCAACATCATAGTACATATCAACCCAATCCAAGAAATGGTTCAGGATTCTTGACGTTCCTGGTTCATTGCGACCCCAAACATAATACCCAGGGTACTGCATCAACACCTCATGGTATGTATACCCCTTGTGTTGCCCAAACGAGAAGACATGATCGCTCCCTGGTGGAAGACTCATGTCATCCATTGGATTCTCACGTCTGGCTCTGAAGTTGGGCATCCTAGGCACACGTGGACCTGAGGCATGGGATGCATGGGACACATGGGAAAAACTGCCATCACTGGAAACAGGAGAAGGTCGTAGGGGGGATCTAGCTTTGGCCTTTGCTGGTGATCCCTGTGGTGTTCTGTAACCCATATACCCACACGACTTCTTGTTGGTTCCTGCCCCAATGACTACGCAAGGCAAGTCATCATCATCTCCTGAGGAATCACTCAGGGCAAGGTAGCCAACCTTTCCTTGGCTAGGCATTTGACCTGGGACCGATGCAGTGGCATTCGGCTTCCTGTTTGGCATCTTGCATTCTGGGTCACCTGCCCAGTGTCCATAGCCTCCATATCGTAGGCATCGGCTGTTCTTCTTCAGACTGGCAAGCCTGACTTTCCTGTCTTGGATGGACAATTGGGTCCTGACAACCCTCTTGCCCTTTCCTTTGCCTTTGTCCTTTCCTTTCCCTGATCCCTTGAAGGGTCCTTTTCCCTTGACACGTCCTACAGCAGCGTAGGCCTGCAACTGGTGTTGGCATGCCTCTCCAAGTTCCTCAAGACCTTCTGTTGAAGTCTCGTCCATGTCACAGGCAGCCATAGCTGTCAGAGCAATGCCAAGATCTTCATCTGATACCCAGTCACAATCATCTGGGTCCTCTGTACTGGGCTCGTCACCAAACCCAACATAGGCTCCATTGTCGTAGTCCTCATTCCAGTCGTAGTTGTCTCCATCATCTGCTGCTTCATCACCTGCATGGCCATCAAGCTCACCTGCAAAGTAGCCTGAGCGATACCACCCCTTTCCTTTGTTCTTTCCTGCTCCTTTCGGTTGAAAGGACCTTGAAGGAGGGGCCAAGTTTCTAGAATCCCTCAAATGGATCCCTGAGTCTCCAAAACTAGTAAATTTAGGTGCCCAAAAATTTACGTAAATTTTGGGATTTACTAACGTAAATTTACGTAATTTTTTACTAATGTTAGTAAAATTTACTAACGCTAGTAAATTTTACTAACGTTAGTAAATGCATTTACTAACGTTAGTAAATGCATTTACTAACGTTAGTAAATGTATTTACTAATGTCAGATTTTTTTTGGGTAGGTACATATTTGATGTTTTTTTTGCTATTGTTTGATACAGAATTTACTTGAGATTCGTGAGGTTGGGAAGGATTAGGATTGTTTCCATGAGAGAATTTACTTGAGATGGTTTGTGCTGTGATAGATTTATAGATGTGTTTGTGGAAGATTTTACATGATTTTTGCGGGTTTGTGACAAAGATTTTACTTGAGATGTTGGGGTTTTGTGATAGATTGTTGTATTTGGGCAAGAATTTACATGCGTTTTGTGGTGTTGGGACAAAGAATTTACTTGTGTGTGAATGACAGTATTTGTTTAATTAATTTGTTTTATGTGTTTGGAACTCTATCTCTGACATGTTTTGTGTCAAACAGGTTTGAAGGTCTCAAGGTTGGAATTGAGTTTGTCTGCAGTGATTTTGATTTTCACCAAAGACATTTGGGGATCAGTCGGTTGCGTTGTGGTTTCACCAATTTCTTGGTTATGGCTGCTTTGGAGTTTGCCATGAAGGAGAAGGAAGAGAGGCTAGCTCAGGAGAGGTCCATGAAGCAAGCCTGTCGTTTTCGGTTGATCGCTGACAAGGGCATCAGTGTTGCTTCCATACAATCTGTCCTTTCTGACTATCTGCGGTATAAGAAGACCAATGATCTTTGGTGTTTGGTGGCACCTCCTGCCACTGGACCTCAGACTTTTGGCTGGCACACGTATCCTTCAGCTGATTGGCTTTGCAAAACTGCTTCGCTTCTATATGACCTAGTTGGCTTGGCTCCCAACACTAAGTTGCAAAGTACCAAGCTGGTCAAGTGCCTGAGGGCCATGTATGACCACAAGGAGTTGCATGTTGACATCAAGAAGGGCACCACTATTGATGACAGCTTCGATAAGCTTGACCTCACCATCAGGGTGCTGCTGAACATGATCCGAACTTTGAAGTGCAATGAGTTTCAGCGGTTGAAGGTCCAGAGGAGTTTGACAAGGCAGGACTGGTCAAAACTCGAGTTCGTGTTGGATCGTGTGCAGCTGCCTGCTGAACTCATGGCAGCATCTTCTCAGGATGAGATTGAAGAAGAAGATGTTTCAAGGCTCAGGACAGTTTCTGTTCTGAATGAGCTTCCAGCTGCTTCTGACAGTGCAAGTGCTGATGTCTCAAGCTTTGCTTTGGTGCCTTGTCCGGTCAAGTCTCAGCAGAAGCAGATGGGAGCGGCTCATGGGTCTTTGAAGCCTTTGCCATCTGTTTTCCAGAAGCATTTTGCTGCTTCAGAGATTTCCCACGAGGAAAAACCTGTTCCTGTGGAATGCTCCAAGGTTACTTCTGCCAGCAGCAAGAAGACGAAGCTGATGGAGAAGATCTTGAACTTGACCAACCCAGTCTTGGATGAGTTGAAGAGCACATACCAACGGCATGAATCCAAAGAGGGCCACAAAGCCCTGACAAAGACTTTGTTTTGTGGCAAATTCAACTTGAGCGAAGATTCCTTTCAAGCTGGCTTGGCTGCTGGTGAATTCCATGAAGTCATTGGCAAGGACGGCACACTGCGATACAGTTGGGAGGTGCTAGAGCACACAGTCGCAAAGGGCAGAGATTCCAAAGTGACCCTCAAGAGTGAGACCTACTTAAGCAAAAAGGATGCAGCTTTCGAAAAGACACGTCTTGATGGTCCATTCATTGGCCTTTTTCAGAAGAATCAGGGACAGCTCGCCATTGCAAGCCCAGCTGGGCAGCTTGCTTTGTGCGACAAAGAGATTGAGTTGACACCTGAGCTTTGGACTCAGGCCCAATCCCAGCTCAGTGCAGCCACGAAGTTTTGGGAGAACAACCTGAAGGAGGCCAAAAAGTTGCTCCAGCAGGTAGGTGTGGACAACCGCGACGACGATCTTTACCAAGAGCTGCTGCTCATCTCTTGTTTCATTGTTTACTTGCTCTTGTCCATTTTCCCTTGTTTGCCCTTTCATCATCAAAATAACATAATACAAGTACAATCGAGCTCAAGTATACACATATAAATAAAGATAGCTCTGTTGTCAGATCATCTCTCTTTCCTCAAAACATATTACTTATCCATCTTTCCCATTTAAATGTAAATGCAGCAATTTTCCAATATACATTACCTATTCATGTCTCAAATAATATTCTCACAATGTGACTCATGTCCTCCTCCTATGTCAACATAAACAACATGGTCAGGAAAGACATCACTCAAAAAATCCAGAAGGAGAAGGCCATATTGGATCACATTTGGCAGTGGAAAGAGACTCCAGAGAACAGTGGAAAGCCCCTGACTGTGAAGAACTACGATGACTGCATGCTTGCTTCTGGCAAGGCTGGTGAGGCTCTTGAGCTTCGCTTGGCAGGTGCCAAAGGCCAGGCCAATGCCATTGCAGCTCGCCAGCGCAAAGCCATGGAAGGTTGAAGAAGCTCCTGAAAGGCAATAATCTAGGAAAGCAAGGATGCTCTCATCCGTTTTGGCTTTACTTTAAGAGATGAAATGATGACAGCCTGCTCTAGGTACTGAGCATTTGGCACTTAGAAGATTTTACATCGAGGACCCCGACAGACCAGAGCTTGCACAGAAGAGCGAGAAAAAAATGGCCTTTGTCTGCAGCTGCTGCTGCTGATGGCACTTGACTTTACTTTTGAAATTTCAATTGTGTTGATTCAACTTGTGACAGGTTTTACTTCTGTGTTGACAACACTGATGAATGTCAAAGGGTGGTGATTTTTTTTTATGAAGCTGTTTGCTTTTGATTTCCCTTGTGGAACTCCACTGCAAGTGAATTTACATGTGCAAATTCACTGGTGGAACAGTTTGCTTGTGGAACTTCACTGCTGTTGAAGTCACCTGTGGAACTTTGTTAGAATTGGTTGTACTTGTAGAAATTTCTATCTATCAGAAATTTACTTGTGGAATTCCCTCCTATAGAAAGTACTTCAATGCAATGAAATCAATGCATTAAATAAATAATATCTCCCCAAAAGAAGCCCCAGAGTCCTTTACTTGAGGCTGGTGAAGCTCTAGGAAACCTTTACTTGGTGGCAGGTGCAAATGATCCTGTGGAAAGTATGGAACAACCTTGCATGAAGATACGAATCTCTTGTATGCACTTGCAAAATCTTTAAAACATTGCTGCTACCATTTCTTCAAACCAAGGTCGAGCAAGGAGAACCCTTGGTTCAAACTTCCTTCTGTGAGTGAGATCAAGTCTCATTCTTTTCAATTTTTAACTTGTTGCGCACCATGGAACCAGCCTCCAAAAGGAGAAAGAGAGGCATCCTGCAAAGACAGGAAGCAGCTCGCTCCTCTGCACAGGAGAAAAGCACCTTGCATGAGTTACTTATGACTTTCCTGGCACAAGGCCTTTTGTCGGGCGCCTTATGCCACAGCATCGCAGTAGCTGCAAAAAAAGACATGGACAAGATCAAGGAGGACAAAGAGCTGCCAGACTTGGACCAGTTGGCTGGCCTCAAGCTTGGCAAAAGTTTGATCAAATCAGTTTATGGAAATTTGAAGAAATCGAGCAACCTTCCTGCACCTTTTCCTGCAGAAATTCCTTACAAGGATGCAACCAAGCCAGGGTACATTTTGCTGCCACATGAATATTTTGCTGCTATGTATGAAAATGACTTTCATTGGAAATCTTCGGTCCTGGCTGATTCGAACAAATTGCGTGACTTTTGGATTGCTTTTGACAAGCATCCTCTGATGACAGATAGTCCACTGAAAAAAATTCCTGAGCACACAACGAATTTGATTCCTTTGTCCTTACATGGTGATGAAGTCCCTGTGTTTGGTGTCGGCAAAATTTGGGCCAGATCTGTACTGTCCTTTAGCTGGACATCGATATTGGCAAATGCCCTTGGAGCCAAAGGTGAAGATTGCACACTTTACATATGGGGAGTTTTTGAAAAATTCTGTGTGCAGGATGAAGGCGGGGTCTTGGGCACCATGTCAACTTTCTTTGCAATCCTTCGATGGAGTTTTCAGACACTGCTGGATGGTGTATGGCCTACACATGACTGGAGAGGCATTAAGTATGAAAAAAATAGCCCAGATGGAAGAAGAGCAGGATTGCCCCTGGCTGGTGGCTACAGAGCATGTTTGCTTCAACTCTGCGGTGATTTGGATTATTTCCAGAAGTGGTTTGGCATTCCTCAGAGCACCAATCACACAAAGCCATGCTCCCAATGCAAAGCAACATTTCGGGGCAAAACATCTTGGTTAGATAACAGGCCAGGATCACAGTGGCAAGGTTTGCTACTCACAAACCGCAACTGGACAAAGCATTGGCAAAGCACTTCTCAGCTTTTTCTTCTACCTGGCTTCAGTTGTTGGAGTGTCGCTTTGGACTTGATGCATAATTTGTACCTGGGCTGGCTCCAATTCCTGTATGGGAGCATCATATTTCTTTTGGTCTTCCATGTTCTTCCTGGTGAACCCTTGCCAAACTTGAAGCACATCGGTGCCTTTATTAAAGAATTTCAGAAAGGAGACAAAACTCGGCAGAAGTTCAGGCCAAGACTTGACAAGCTCTCAATGTTCCAGAAGGCAAAGGGATTTCCTAAGCTGAAAGGGCGCGCAGCTGACATACGTGGGCTGGATAAAGCCATGATGGCATGCTGGGAACATCATTTAGATTCTGATAACCCGCAGTATTTACAGATTTCAGCCCTCTTGCAGTTGAATGTTGAAGTTCACGACGTGCTGGATCGCTTTTCGCCCAAAATGGGCTACTTGGCTTTGCCTGACAATGTGCATGCAGAAGTCCTTCCAAAATGTTTTCAGATGGTGCAGCTTCATGTACAGCTACAGGACCATTATGCTGCCACAGACCTGCAAATTTTTAATTTGACAAGCAAAACGCATTTCTGTTTACATACAATGCAAGTTTCCAATGCAATTCACCCTTACCTAACCTGGTGTTTTAAGGGCGAAACAAAAATGAAAGCTGTGCAAAGACTTTGGAAGTCCTGCCTTGATGGAAACAAACATTGGGCAGTGGCACAAGCAGCAGCACTCAAGAACCGCCATTTACAATTTCTGAAGCACCAGCAGTGAAAAAAAAACATTTGCAATGCTGCTTTATTTACTTGAGAATGACAAGTTGCAATTGTCACAGCGACCTTCTGATCTTACTTGTGGGCTTTATGATATTGACTTTACCATACTGACTTTACTCTTGGTAATCTATAAGAAAATCTTTCCTTGACTGGTCACTTGCAAAGATTCTGGCCTTACTTGACCATATCCATTAAACATACGAGTATGTGACAAAACTAACTCTTTGTTCTGGAACAATTTGCTAGTCACATTGTGAACTAAAACGACATCAAATAAATCTACAAAATGCTACTGCATTTCTGCTACAATATCATAATTCGAATCAAAAATGAGAAAAGGGCGCATACACTCTTGATGCACTTTTGATGCACTTTTCGTTTTTCATAAAATTTACTAATATTCAAAAAACTAGAGAAAAATTTACGTAAATTCTTCTTTTTTAGTAAATTTACTAAATTAGTAAATTTACTAGTTTTGGAGACTCAGGGATCCTTCCATGGTGTTCCAACAAGATCTCACTGTATCCCTCAAAGCTAGGCTTTGGGCAGGCAGTCTTGACCATGAGTTGTTCCTGACGGCTTAGGCCTGATGTCTCAAGGAGAAGTTCAGCTCGCATCTGGGTGGAAATTGCCATCTCTGGGTCGAGCTCCTTAAGCTGAATCCACCATCGCTTCCTTCTTCCAATGAAGGACAAGATCGTCTCTGCAGACTGTCGACTAAGGGGGCCACTTGCCTGTTGTCCAAGCCTGAAAAGCTCCCTTGCCTCATGCGACCTCAAAGGGAACACATGCTCCTTGATCTTCTCCACCAGCAATTCCAGTCCGGTTGGGGGCCCAACATCCATCAATGCGCTCAGACCCAAGTCTTTTGCCATCAGAAATGCATCACCTCTAAGACCTTCCATGACCTTAGTGACAAGCTCCACATATGGGGACACGTCCAACAGATCGTGATCCACTTGACTACGGGGTGAAGCAAAACCACCAAGTCCATCTGAGTGCTCACCAGAAGGGGCTTGAGGCGACACCTCAGCAGCAGTTTCCTCTGCATCCTCTCGCTCTGCCGCTTCTGTCGGCTCGCGTCTCCTCCGGCCACTGCTTGCAGGACTGACCGGGGTACTGGATGCTTCCTTGGCCTTTTCTTTGGCCTTCTGCTCCATCTTCTTCTTGCAGAGTTCTACACGAATTGCCATTCGTGAAAGTGGGATGCAGTACCTCAGGCCTGCCATCGACATGATGTTCCATGGGGTTTCTGCGATTCTTCAGGTTGTTCTACGTTACACACTTACACACACACAACAAACACACAAGTTTCGGACCTAGGCTATCACCGTGAGAGTCCGGATGTCGGGAGTGAACTCTCCGGCAACCAGCTCCGCTACCAGTTTGAATTGCGCTAGGGACCGTTTTTGCAACCAACAGCTCCAGGGCCCTAAGTCAGGGTAGGTTTGAACCAAAAGCAACACGTGGGAACCATGGTGCAAGGGTCCAAATGACCTTACTCTCACACATAGTAAAGCTATTGGACCTATCAACTGGTGCGCACAGCTACCCCCATAGACACCGAAACACCAGGCCAACCTTCTTTAGCCATCAGGTCCTTTTCCACTCCAGGTTTCCTGCGAAAGAAGCGCCCTTCTGGCGCCAGGATGAGATCTGTGAAGCCATCATCATCCCAGTCGACTGCCAGGGGTTGCGAGGAGACTTCCACGCGCCAAGTCCAATCAGAAATCCTTGGTGCTTCCATATCTTCCATGGCCGCCATCCAGCGACTCTTTTGGATGGGACATGATGGGACAACAGCAACAGATTCTTTGACTGCGCAAATGGAAGGTGTTTGAAAGAGATTTGCACCGATTCTTTGCACCCTGTATGCTGGAACATGCTGATGTGTATGTCTGCCTGTGCGTTTGCAATATGAAATTCATCCCCAAAACTAAAGATGCAACGAAGAGGCTCTCTCACTGCCAAGCCATCGATTTGAGATAAAGCCGAGTCATGAGACAAGACAAGCTTTCCACCTGGCCGGGTCAATAATCAAGCAGCACAACAATCATTTTGCTCATCCCAGCGCATACAGGGGCATTAAGAACCCGTTGCCGCCTTGATTCTGGTAGAAGCTCATGTTGACCGGGACCGAAGACCCCGGAATCACTATCAAGTCCAAATGTCCGTCTCCATCCCAATCAGCCACGCTGATCCGGCACCTGCCTCCCGTGGGCCAAACACTGATACGATATACGGGAGGCCCGCGCATGATATGATTGACTGATCGTGGCTAGCAAAAACGGGTGAATACGGATGGACTTGATTTTGTAGTGTTGCAATCTGATATCATCCTGATTAGCTAAGTGTGCTATTGTGGTCAATCTCTGGTTCAGTGGCCAATGTTTTGGAACCACCTCAGGAAAAGCTTTTCCCAAAGGATCCAATATCTTATCACATCCTCCTTAAAGAACCCCACCTGAACAATTTCCAAGCCACTAGACCATGAAAGGGTCCACTTCACTTTAGTAAGGTTTGCTCTAGGTTCGGAATTGCAGCAAGTGTTTTTTCTGAGGTCATCCTGGAGCAGAAGACTTTGTCCCGGGATGTTTCACGTGAGCTCGCGCGAAGTCTCTTCTGAGATTTCGACGCGCGATTCCACAGGGATTTAGCTTGTGCAAGGGGCATTTTACCGGAGCATCCAAAAGGGTGTCGATTTTGCACATATGCAGCATCATATGCACGTTTGGTGCAGCAAGTGCAAAGGATGCTGCACTTAATGGAGCCTTACAAACTTGATCGGTGCAAAGGATCGCGCACATTGCAGCGCGGCACTTCGTACACGTGCGGACTTTGTGCTCCGAATGACTCAGGTACATTTTTCCTGAGGGTCTCGTTTTTTGTGCCCCTTGGCCCACGTCTGCCTTTCTATCTAAGAGGTGTTTTTTGATGTTTTTTGACTTTTGGAGCGTTCTATCATTACAGATGTCTTTTAGCAAGTTTGACGCCAGTTTCCTCTGAAAGTTTGAAGATGTTCCAAGGCAAGGCCCAATAATCATTATGTAACTAATCACAGAACCCTCGTTGCCGGGTAAAACTGTGCTCATGGGCTGCTACTGCAATGAAGCAGTTGCCCATAATAGATACTCTCTTCGTGTGCCACGTTTTTCCTCCAAGACACGGTTATCATGGCATGATAGGCTTACCATCAACTGCTACGACGGCGACGCATGACAATTTTGTTTATGGCATGATCAGTTCCTGATCACAAAACCCGGATCATCTAATTGCTGGTATGATAAGGTATGGCATAACAAGGTTTCATTTCTGCCAAAATCCTACACTTTTAAGAGGCGTAATTTGCCGGGTAAAAGGCGTAATTTGCCGGGAAAAAGGCGTAATTTGCCGTAATTGGGAAACCACCAATTTTCAATTTCAAAAAATCGAGGTTTTCAGGTATGATATGGGATGATATATGGTGACAAACCTTGGGCGCACACAACGCACAGAATCAAATTGAGCGATCCGGTTCTGATTTTTTTACACTGGGACCATCTTCACCTGTCTTTGGCTTCATGGGTTTTCTTGTCTTAAGCAGCTTTGCCCTCTTTCATACCATTCTAGCAACTTGCTCATCTCACACGGGCATGTCACGCAGGCTCTTCAGTCGATGATTTGGTGCTAGTAGCAGAGTAGCAGGCACCAACAGTATCCAACAGTTGTAGCATTGGAATCACAACTTGGAATACATCTACTTGGATATGACCCAGGGCTGATCTTCCAAGGACACTTTTCTTGCTCAAGAAAACTGCCAGGGACGTTTTTTATTTTAAGGGGCTGAAATTTTGTGCTCTTTGCTAAGAGGCCAAAATTTGGCACAGGTGGATGTTGCAGGGTGCATTTTTTGTTCTCGATTTTGCAAATGCATCGAACATTTAAATTCGGCTGGGGTTTTGGAACGATTGCTCAACATGCAGGACATCTCGCACTCGATGTTCAACTCATTAGAGCAGTGACCAGAGGTACCCAGAGGTATGAGACCAGACTAGGAAGATCTGGGAAGAGGAGGTTTAATATGGCCTAATGGACCATCAATGGATTCCCCGAAAAAATCTGAGTCATCTGTTGGGCCTTTGCCCGAATTGAAGAAAAGC